AGACAGCAGCCATTTTCTTTTAAGTTTATACAGAAACAGTAGGTCAGTTCATTGGACCTTTAATGAGAAGTCTACAGGGGACAAAGCAGGCGCCAGGTTTCCGATATAGTGCATGTCTGTGCGTGTGTGTGAGCGAGTGAATGTGAGAGGAATGAAGCAAAAAGCCTTTCTTGCTTCAGATGCTTCAGTTTGCTTGTTTGTAAAGATGAGGAGCTGTTAAAGTGGGTATGTTCATGTCATTAAAAGGACTAATAACAAAAGAAAAATGATAAATCACCTTTTAATGTTTCACCCTAAAACATTCCTCCATTCTGCCACTCCTGCGCTCCTCAGGTAATGTTTCCATTTATGAAAGCAGACACCTCCAGGCTGGGCTACACAAAGCTCACTGGGGTCTCAGAGGGTTTTGGTCAGTCAAAGGCCTTTTTAAAAAAAAAAGTTAGACAACAGACAGACAGATTCAGGAAGCGTTTCCTCTGCCGAAAAGGCAACTTTCAAATGCAAATATGAGCCTGTGCAGCCAGTGACACTGGGGTCACCTCAACAATATCAAAAGTCTCACTCCTGAGGCTTTTGTGTCCCGCTGGATGTTCGAGGGTCAGGTGTCCAGCCAAAGATGAACTACTTCCACTGCTGGAACCAGAGTCCAGACAGGGAGATTCTTATTTTACTTTGGAGAATAAATGATTGTGTGTGTGTGTGTGTGTGTGTGTGTGTGTGTGTGTGTGTGTGTGTGTGTGTGTGTGTTTGTTTTTTTTCTTTCACTTTTGAGCCAGCTGCCACAAACAAATTGTATGTCTTTCAGAGTTTTGGACTTCTAGCTGAAACAATACAGAGCACAGCCTAAATGTATTATGTATTATGTGTGGTGTTATTAAAAGGCATTCTGGGAAATGTTGCATTAAAACTAATCGCTGTTAAAAGTGTAACTATATTAGATTTATATGTAGAACATAATTTGTTAAAATTGCACTTCTCTTTCAGCCTTTATGACAATGGCCATCATCCTGCTTCATATGTTCTGGGGCATTGTTTTCTTTGATGCCTGTGAGAAGCAGCGCTGGTGGGCGGTGGGAGCCGTTGTCATCAGTCACTTCTTGGGCTACCCTGTCTGGTGAGTTTGGTTTGTACAGAATGTGGACTTGGGTCTGTGTGAAGGCAGGAAAAAACCACTAGCTCACAGTCAAACAACAATGCAACGAAAGTATTTTTTATGTCTCATATGTCTGAGTCAGTTTTCTTTTTTTAAATCAAACCTCTCAAGCCTCATAAATTTTCTCTTTTTATTTTATTTTATATGTATGTTTATATAAATATGTTTTCGGGGCACGCAGCGCTACTTGGACAAACGACCATTTAACAACATTAACTTGGCGACTCAGATTTGTAATGAAAATCTCTCTTGCTCTCTTTTTATAGGCCTACAATTAGTTACTTTAAAGAATTGAAATCAAATGCTAAACAGTGTGCGCTGCTGTTTGTACTTCGTCTTCTACCGCAGACCTTCCAGAACCTCGCAAGCCTCGTTCCCACCTACGTCATCCTGTTCCTAATGAGAGAGGGTTTTGCTTCACAAAGCACACTTTCCCGGCAAATGTTGCTCATTTAAATGTTTTAAAACATAACTGAACCCAGATACTACTTTCATCACAATGCAGCATTGCATATTACATATTTAAGAATAAGCATATTACTTATCCATTTATCTAGTTTGCAAAGTTTGCCTTCTTACCGGCAGGTGGCAGTAGAGAAAAAATAGATGAGTTCTTTAAAAAACAGCTAAGTTGATTTCTTGTAAATGTGATGCAAATTGAAAACGTGGTCACAGATCTAATTTAATGCTAGTATATGTCATTTCGTGGATTCTGGATATGCGCATATATTTGTACATTTCTTTTCCCCAGTGGTTTATTTTTCTTGAGTAGACTATGATTTAAGGCTGCCAATTAATTATTGTCAACATTGCCCATTTACTGTTAACCTTGCTGGGTCTGATTTTATGTTGTCTGTAGTATTTGTCTTCAAACTCAGACTGTGGACAAGTCTGTCTGATATCAGGTGACTTTTTAAATCTTTTGTTTGGAGAAGTAACCCGTTTCAGTGCATGTCAACTGTTCCTCTCAGGGATAAAATTCCCAGTTCCTCTATGGTAACCAACCTGACTGACTTAATCTGTGATATGGGAGTTATTATATGTATCACAAAAATCTCTCTCACACAAAAAATGTACACTGTAAAACCTTCATATATATTGACACACCACATTCAGTTGATTGTTTTAGAGTACTGTGCAGAAGTAACAAATAAACAGGAACAGGATCGGGGTGGCTGTGGCTCAGGTGGTAGAGCAGATCAGCTACTAATTGGAAGGTTGGTGGTTCGATCCTTGGCTTTCTTGTCACCTGTCAGAGGGCCCGGTGGCGCCAGTGTCCGGCAGCCTCGCCTCTGTCAGTGCGCCCCAGGGTGGCTGTGGCTAAAAGGAACCTGCCATCACCAGTGTGTGGATGACTGGATATGTAAAGCGCTTTGGGGTCCTTAGGGACTAGTAAAGCGCTATATAAATACAGGCCAGGCCATTTTCCTTAATCTACATACCAAATATCCTTGGGCAAGACACTAACCCGAAGTTGCCCTCGGATGTGTTCATCGGAGCGTTAATGTTGGTTAGTTTGCATTTGAGTTTAGAATTGCTTGTGTGAATGAGGCATGTTACATACAGTGCTTTGAGTACTCTGGGAGAGTAGAAGGTGCTATACATGTGGCCCTGGGAAGGCCAGTCTATGAATCCATTGTGTATTTTTCTATTTGCATATGCTTTTGCCACATTGGCAATGTGTTTGGAATCATCATCATTGTGAAAAATAAAACTGTTTATGATCAGACACTTTCCACTTGGTATTACATGTTTGATCAAAATCTGACTGTACTTTTCTATGTTTCTAATTCCATCAATTTTAATAAGATCCAACACCTCTGGCTGTTGCGCTCAAACCACGACAGAGACTTCAACATGTTTTACAGATGGCTATAGAGACTCACTGCTCTGTCCAGTTTAGATCTCCTTTGTACATAGAATGATTCAAACCAAAAATGTCATATTTGGATTCATAACCGAACTGGCCATTGTGTACCCTGCCTCTCATTGTAAGACAGCTGGGATAGGCTCCAGCCTAGGACAAGGTAAGCGGAAGAGGATGGATGGATGGATGGATGGATGGATGTATCACCCTTTGACTGACACCATTTCTAAAAGGTAGGTGGATCAACGAAAAGCCAGATGCATCACTCAGGTTCTGTGTCAGGTCTTTGCTGGATTCTTGTCATGATCCTGGGTCCGTTGACCCAGCGTTTTGTGTTTAGTTATGTAGCCTTCAGGTTTCCTAAGTTTATCGTTATCATGCCTAGTTGTTTCCAGTTAATTTTACCCCTCGTGTTCCCACTATGTTAAGTCTATCATGCCTAGGTGTTTCTAGTTATTTTCCCCCTTGTGTTTCCAACCCATGTTAAGTCTCCCCTGCCCTTCATGTCTCTCTGTGCCCCCTCTGTTCTGTTTATTGTGTGTCTTTGCATGTTTGAGTTTCTTGTTTTCTGTCACCCTGCATTGTGCATTATGTTCTCATGGTTGGTCTTTTGTTACTCCCTCTAGTCTAGTCTCTTGTGTTCAAAGCTGAGTATTTCCCTCTGTGTATTTTGGTTCTTAGACCTCTGCCTTATGGTTTGTCTCTGTTTCTTAGTTGCTGTCTCCACTGTCAAGTTCTGTCTGCGTTTCGTTATGCTTCCTGTTTTATTTTGGAAGGAGTCGTGTGTTCTTGGTTCTTTGTATTTAGCTTCACTGCTCCTGTCATTAGGTTCATGTTAGTCAGCTGTTTCCTCATGTGTCTCCACTTCCCCTGATCACCTCATGTGTGTATTTAAGCCCTTTGTTTTCTGCATGCCATTGTCGGTTCGTCTGTTTACCTCAGCCATAGTTTTAGTCTTTGCCTGTTATCCCCACCATAGCCATAGCCATAGTTATAGTCTTAGTCCTTCGTAGTATTTGTTTCTTAGTGTTTTTTCGTTTGCTTAGGGTTCGTTGGTTAACCCCTGTAATCATCTAAATAAAGGATCGCTTTCTGTTTAAACTTTTGCAACACCTCGTCCACTTCTGCTTTTGGGTCCTGTTTCAAAAAACACACCGGCGCACCCCGCCGTGACAATTCTGTCCCTCCTATTACATTCAGTTGCTGTTCATCTGCAGTAGATGGTTTTAAAGTTCTGCCACTCCTCCTTCTGTCCTCCACTTGTCCAGTTTAGATCTTTGGGCATCACCCTGCTTGTACAAAAATACAAACTGTATTACCTTTGGCATTTTTGTAAATAATAAAAAGGTAGAAACAACATCATAATCAACAAGAAGAAAAATACTGGATCCGAAGTGTTTCTTTGAAATTACTAATATATATAACATATAAAACAAACCCCTCCAAAAACTTAGAGGATAACAACAAAGTATCAGTCTTGTTAGTATCAATAAAATACCAATACCAGCATTGGTTTTGATGCTATCGATATTTGTATCAGTCCGCCCACCTCTAACCCTAATTTCTCCTCCCTCCTTGAAGTAAAGGACATTTAAGACATATGTAATCCATTTAGTCCTGGTATTTTTTTACTTTTTGAAATTGAAATAACCATATGGAATTTCCCACCCTGGCGCCTGCTGTTCTGTGAACCACAAGGGGGGAGTTGTTTTCGTGGTTGCCATTCTCTCCTCCTCAGTTTTAAACAGAATTCAGCATGTTTTACAAAAAACAAGCATTCGTGTAGTTTATAGTTTTGCTAGTTAGGGTGGTGGCTGGTCAGTGGTTTTACTTACAGACAGCAGTTTCGCGTCACCAAAGCCCTCTGACTGAGCCCCTTCCATCCCCCGCGCGCCCACCTGTGCATAATTTATGCTAATGAGCAGGTGCAGCGGTTTTTGAGGCGCGCCGAGGACCGCTCGGGGATGAGCCGGATGGAGCAGCACAGGGAGAGTCGGGAGTCCAGCCGGAGGGTTCTCACCAGGTGATGCTGTCCAAACCCGACTGAGTGCGGATCCGCGAAACACGAATGGATCCCTATTTAAGACGGAGAAGGCTTTTTCACTTATTATCTTCGTGTTTTATCCTCATTTATCAAGGTGAGTCATACGCACCGGGAAGCACGCACGCGACCCCTGATGCCGCGGGAAGGCGAAGTGTGATTTCTGAGTGAAAGAGACAGAGTCCCAACACGGTCACAGCCTGTTTGTATAGGAAAAGTTTAGATACCACAGGTGCTTTATGCGGCAGCTCAGGTTACATCCTGCAGTTTATTTATTTACTTAGTTATTTAGTTAGTTATTAAAGTTGGTCTCTTTTTAAAAAAGGTCACAGCCTATTGTCTTTCCTTATTTTTGCCCATTTCCCCTCTAATTTCAGCGCACCTTTCCTGGGGTGTGGAAAGAGTGAACATTTCTAACTGGGATGAATTTAATGAGTGAGTCATTTTTAAAAATTGTTTCCTTGCATTTAGTTAGTCGTTTACATAATGTTTATTTGTCACATATTCATAATTTACATATTATATGTGAAGGATTTATTTTGGTGATTATATTTGCATTAAAGCCCACATAGTTTTATATATTAACTATAAGTTGTTATGTTAAAAATTGTATTTGAGTATTGTGTGTGAGTATTATACAATATATGTAGTATAGTATATGCTGGCTTTGAGGCATTAGGCCATACATAAAAAAACAATATGATTTAAAAAAACAACAACATCTGCTTTAGCTCATCGAAACCTGTCCATTTCATGATGCTTTAATCGATTAATTGAGAAGCATGACAGTCTGGTCAATCACCAGGTTGTTTGGTGGTCTGCGTGATTCCTGGTTGGTGGTGGGTTTGTGGTGTCAGTGGGGGTGAAACCTGCAGTAGGAACAAACCTCTCCTTGTTCTCTCTGTCCCAGCAGCGGGAGCAGCGGGATAAAGCATCAGAAATGGGACACCGCTTCCCAGGGAGGGCAGGTAGGCAGCTGCATTGATCGTTGATGCTGATGGAGCTGCTTCGGGCGGCAAACACACAGCCAGATATCTCCCAAAAAATCAGCATTGCTCACATCACCATCGTCATCACATGGGAGTGCTTCTTCCCATAATTTATACACAGTGTTTACATTTTTCACTTTTAATTTCCCTAAAAGACTCGATTGTTTGCTTAAGTATAAGTTAGTTGAATATATGTGAAATGCAACATATTTCTAGTTTTATTGCAGAATCTTAATGTATGACTTTTTAATTTTTAATTATAAAAATTAACTTGTTTTTAACCCAAGAAGTCTGTCGTTTTACCCAAAATTTGATGTCTGTATTCATGGACGGCCTAAAAAAGCATTTCAAACTGCACAAATACACAGAAATGTCCATATCTGCTAAGTTCAGGCTGTCACTCAGTGTGGAGATATATATGAAAATATATAAACAGTGTGCATTGTTCCCTGCTTCCTCGACATGCGAAGGAGTCCCAGCAGGAATATAAAGAAGCTGCTCTGTTGTCTTGCTCTTCCTCTGTCAGAGCCGCTATCTGCCTGAATGTGGTTGCTCTTTTGTTCTCCCTTTGGTTCATGAGAATCCGGTCCAAACTATAGGAGCCCATAAAGGAGCAAAGCAATTAGTAGCACAAAATATGCTAAAAAAAAATGTTGTAGGTATTTTTTTTTTAACTCTGTTTAATGTCCTTGTTAAAATTAGAGCAGCTTTAACTGCTGTAATTTTAGTTTAATCAGTGCATTGTTATATGCAGATTGACATAGTGCTTTTACATATGTGAAGTACTCCCTCTTTGTTTTTCTGATACTGATCACTGATTAATAATTCATAGTCAGGTACCCCTTATACCCCCCTTACACATCACCCTTGCCACCTGCTTTGTTCCTACTCTTTGAGATGAAAGGCTGGGTTTCAGAGCTCAAGTATCCAGTCACGTAAAAGTGTGGAAGCAAGGCTGGACTGATAATTTTGGAATGCCACTGTAATGAGAATGTTTTAAAACCAAACCTGCTGTTAAGGTGTTTTTTTTTTGGTAAAATATCCAGTTATCTTAATATGGAAATCGCCATGCCAAAACATTCCAGATATCAAGTGTTTTCCCCCCAGTGTTTTACTCTCTTGGGAACACTTTACCAGCCTTCTAATTTCACATATCACACATCGATATAGTGAAATGAAAGGGGCGAATACTTTTAGACAATAGAGGTCATCCAAAAGAGGAAACAGACACAACCAAAAGGGAGTCAGTTGGGTTGTTGAGCTGGAAAGGAAAACTGTGTTGTAAGTCACAGAGCAGTCGTTAATGAAAGCTGGATGACAGGTCTTTTCTTTAGAGCCTCTTCCTTTCCCAGCACCACCTCAATTCCATCCTTGCCGATCATGATTCTAATTTGGCAACATCCAGCCTAATTCCGGGAGGAATTTTTCTTCAACAAAACACTAAATTGTAAAAGTTTTAGGTATCTTACATTTTAATCAAATCTTTATTAATCTGTCACCTGAGACCTGTACTCATTTTCCAGATTAGCTTGATATTAAACTTACAGAATTAATTCAGCAAAGCATTACAAGGACTTTATTTTAGTTTGCTGAAATTGCTCGCTTTATTTCTTTGCCAAACATTACTGAGTTCCAATATGAAAATGATCAGATGTAACATATTTAGTTGTAAGAGGATTTGAAAGATTGCTACTTCGGATCAGGTTCAAGCTGTATGACTTATTATTATTATTATTATTATTGTTATTGTATAGCAACTGTTGCATGAAATATTTGCTGATACAATTTTTTCTCCTTGAAGCACCTCCAGATGACAATCGCTACATTAGAAACCAACATATCTGCCTCCAGTAAATCACTGGTCAACATGGCTGCTGTGTCAAACCTTACATCATCTGCAGAAAGGACACCAAACATCTCATGGACCATGAGCTCTGGCCAATCGTCTGGAGTCACGGCACCACCTAGTAAAACACCATCAAGAACAATGTCCTCCAGTCAATCACCAGGGAACACAGCACCAATCAGTCAATCATCAGCTGAGACAGCACCATCCAAACACTCACAAACCAGCCTTCTAACAGTCAGCAAATTCCCAACCACATCAACATCACCTTCTCAATCACTCGGAAGCAGAACAGAAAACAGCTCAGTATCATCCAGTCAATCACCAGCTGAGAAAACACTATCTAACCAATCAAGAACAAGTCCTGTACCCACCAGTCAGTCATCAAACTCAGTATCAGCTGTCCTTTCACAGGGTAGCACAGCACAAACAAACAATTCTGCAGTCAATACAGGTTCATCCAATCAGTCACCAACAATGCCAGTGCCATCTAAAAATTCAGAAACCAGCTCAGCACCAGGCAGCCAATCATCAAACAGCTCAGCATCGACTAGTCTACTACAAGGCACAACAGAACAAAAAAGACACTCACCAGGCAGCATGGCACAAAACGGCCAATTGCCTGGTAGCACAGCACCATTCAGTTATCATTTGGGTTCTAAATCACCAACTGGAAAAACACTATCTGACCAATCACAAAATCACAAAAGTCTAGTACCAGCCAGTCAATCATCAAACCCATCACCATCAGTTATGCCGTCACAGGGCAGCCTGGCACAAACACGTCAATCACCAATCAGCAAAGCATCAACTAGCCTATTACAAAGCAGCACAGAACAAAACAGCCTCTCATCAGGCAGCACAGCTCCATCCAGTCAGTCACTAACCAAGAAAACACCATCTTATCAGTCACATGCCAGCCCAATACTAGCCACTCAAACACCAAGCGTGCCAGCATCAACTAGCCCATCACGAGGTAGAACAGAACAAACCAAACAAGTATCAAGCAGCACAGCAACAGCCAGTCTATCTCCAGCTGAGAAAGCACTATTTAACCAATCACAAAACAGCCTGGAACCAGCTAGTCGATCATCATCCCGATCAGCATCAGCTGGCTCATCTCAAGGCAGTATAGCTCAAACCAGCCAACCACTAACAACCACACCAATATATAAAAAATCTCCATCCTCTGCGATAAAATCCAACAAATTGCCACGAAGCACAACATTATACAGCCAGTCAACAACTGTGACAAAAGAACTCAAGTCACAAAATGAACCATCAATGACTACAGTGATAGCACCTAGTCAGTCATCAGGCAGATCAACACCAACCAGCCAATCAACAAGCAGGACATCTTTAGCTAAAAAATCATCAAAAAAGACACTGGCTAACAAGTTAATCTGGCTAACCAGCACAACAAGTTCTAGCCAATCACCAAGCAGCACCACACCAGCCAAGAATTCTTCTTTTATTAATGCACCCACTAGGATCATATCTGATCAATTAAAAGGCACAGGTACAAAATCTAGCAAGACAACACAAAGCCAACTAAAAGCTGTCTCAGAATGGTCAAATCAGTCGCTAGACACTCCAGATGATCAGACCATGCTCACCTTAAATACTTCACAATACTTATCATACAGTTTACCGTCTAATAATCACTCAAGGTCAAATTCAGCACCATATGAACAATTTCTGACCAGCTCAGTAACATCAAATGAATCTGGTTCAGTGTTACTTGGAAAAACCAACAATGGAGCCATTTCAACAGACCAGCATCCAGTTAATACTTCACTGCTGACGAGGCAGGTGAAGGAAGCCCTGGGGTCATCGTTTCGTAGGATTCCAGGTAGGTTCACAAAGTTCTTATTAATGATTGAAGGATGAATGTACAAATGTTTGAGGGAGAACTTCAGTATAACAATTTCTCTTTATACCATTTTCCTCAAATGTGGTTCTAAAAACATTTTAGAAGTCTGTTAAAAAGGAGAAACCTGGTCAAATTCATTGCACATGCCATTTTCTTGGTCATATTTGTGGTAAAGAAATAGTGAAAACAACCCCAAAAGTGTGTGTATATGCATCAGAGAGGAACTTGGGAGTTAATATCTTGCCCAATGATATTTGCCATGCAGGCTGGAGCAGCCAGAGATCGACCCACAAATCTTCCAGTCAGTAGATGACCTCCTCTACCTCCCTGGCTACCGCTTGTAATCGAAACCTAGTAATGTTGTGTACATTTGGAGCAACAAATGAGCCAAATGAGTACTTGTGCCTCACAGAATGAACATGAGGAAAGCAGCTTGACTAATTGGACCCCCTCCCATGGCTGATTCCTTTATGGCTTTTACCTATGTTAATGTGGGACATGGCCCACTAGGCAGACAGCATGGAAGGCCATTGAGCAGATGGTTTTATTGGAGGATGAAAAACTATCATTTGGGGGATGGTGGTTCGTTCAGTGACTGGAACATTTGTTTGAGCCACACAACTCCACGTGAAAGCAGAGAGGCAGATGGTGACTTCCTTAAATATATACCTTGCAGACAAACACTTAAACTCAGTTGTAGTGGTTATTAGGATGGAAAATTAACCAGTGGTACACATAGCTTTTATGAGAAAGGAAAAACACTATTTCTATATTATTGTTCCTGATTAATAATAATAATTTTCATTATTAGAAATAATGAAAATTATTCATGGAGTCGTTCTTTCAGGTTTCCAGTCTGATGAGAAACAGTGTAATTGTTTGCTTGTCCTTTCATTTTCTCTCAGGGGAGCCCTGTGCATTTCCTTGCCTGAACGGAGGACAATGTGTTGAGTCGGAGTCATGTGACTGCAGCTTGTATCAGGCTACTGGACACAGATGTCAGACAGGTAAACCCTGACAACACTCTTTTAAATTGGTAAGTGGACTGGATCTTATATAGTGGATTTCTACTCTACTTCAATTCAATTCAGTTTTACTTCTATAAAGCCAAATCACAACAACAGTCACCTCAAAGTGCTTCATATTGTAAAGTAAAGCCCTTCAAAAAATACAGAAAACCTCCAACAATCAGGCAAACCCCCATGTGCAAGCACTTTGGTGACAGTGGTAAGAAAAAACTGTTTTAATAGGGAGAAACGTCTGGCAGAACCAGGCTCATCTGCCTCGATCGGATGGGGGTGATGGAAGGGAGACCAGACAAAAGAGATGTTGTGAAAGAGATCCAGAGATGATTATACTTTCGCACTCAAAACACTTTACAGCCTTCAACATTCACCCATTCACATCCATTCATACAAGTACTTGTTTCTATGCTTTAAGTGCTTTCTATCTAACATTCACACATACGCAACGATCAACCAGCTTGTTAGTTCAATACAGTATCATAAAAGTGCACAGGCCTATTATTAGCATTAGAGGTCATTTAATGAAGTTTGTAGAGCAGTTCAGGGAGGATGTTTAAGATGCTCTGAGCTATCCTGTACCAGAAATTTAAGTTACCGATCTGTTTCTCTTAAGTTCAACATATACCCCCCCCTCCCCCAAAAAAGAGAAATCAAGTCATTTTGTCTTCTACATCTTTTTAAAAATAATTTATAGTACACATTCACTCAGTTCAGAGGGAGTTTTGAGTCGGAAACTCTGTGTATTTTGGAATGGTGTGTCTTCTTAAAAAGTTTGCGGAAACTGGGCAAATGGAGGATAAAAGGAGTGGTAGAGAAGAATAGTGTCTACAGTAGACAAACAGTAACTGAATGTAATGTCCCTAAGAAAGGAAAAAATCAGCAGAGACCTGACACAGGACATCTCAGGCCTCCCTCAGGTCTCTGCTGTCCAGATGTCCACCTACTGTTGAAGCCTCATCAGAAATGGTCTCAGTGGTAGGGTGGCTGTCAGAAGCTGATCTTAAGGAAGGGAAATGGATCAAAGGATGAGGTATGCCAAATCACACAAGAACTGGTGTGAAAAATAGTGGTAACAGGTCTGATGGAGTCAGAAGTCCAGATTTGACATTTTGGTTCAGCTCATTATCAGTATGTATGGAGAAGATCAGGAGAGAGGTGCAGCAGTGAGTGTCTACAGCAATCTGTAAAGTATAATGGAAGCTCTGTAATAGTTTGGGGTTTGGGAATCTTGTCAAAATTAATGGAATTATGAATAGAGAAAATTACTGTCAGATTTTGCTCTGCCATCCAATACTATCTGGAAGCTATTGATTCTGATTCACTGATTGTGAACAGCCTTTTTTTTTCTGCATGCCATAAAAGACATTGGAGTGAAAACCTGGATAAAAAAACATACAGTGTAACGTGTCAGTCATGGATTGGCCTCCCCAATGTCAGCACCTCAATATTATTGAGTCAGCGTGGGATAATCTTGACAGAGAACATAACAAAATGCCTGCTTTTGCCTTATATAGTTTATTTCCGTGTATGTTTGTGCATCTTTCACTGCATTGCTTCACCTATCTCCCATTTTCCTAGCAAAGTATAAAAAGGAAAAGGGGTGACTCAGTACTTTTACACAGTACTGTACATTTAACAAGTGGACAAAAATACAACACTAATAAATACTAAAAGGTGCTAAATTGAAAAGCTTTGTTAGGGTGTTTTGTAGCATTTCTGTGTCTTAATGGCTAATTAAGTGATATGAAAAGAGAAATTTTCATGTTTATATTCCTAGTTCCAAATTTTGGCTTTGAGAGGGAGATGACATGCAGGACATGGGGTCAGTACAACTTTGAGACCTTTGACGGCCTCTACTACTACCTCCCAGGCCGGTGCGCCTATACTTTACTGAGGGACTGTGAGGAAACCACCCAGGCCAGCATCGTTGTCCAGGTGAGTTGTCCACATGGACCTGGGCTGGGGTGAAATAAAACCTCCAGGTGAGCAGCTGCCCAGTAGTTTTCGGTTCAACGCCTGCCTCCAGTTTGGGGAAAATTTGGACTCTGTGGCCTCCTGCCCCAAAACACATTCTTTTTTTTCAGACTCAGCCTGAGGAAAAGATCTGCTCTGAACATTAGTGAAAGCTATCTGGTTATTAGAGTCAATTACCATTAAATGCTGCAATTACCCACTATGCCTTGAAAGTATCTGCAACAGACTAGGACTTTGTTCCCCCGAACAGGCAACAGATACCTTATCTGTGTAGGGGAAAACCAACCTAAACAGGGGACATTAGAAGATCCAAATGTAGTTTGAATTAATTAAATAATGAAGTTCAGTAATGATAACATATTACAGTGCAGCAATCCTAACAGAGCATGTTAGGAGGAGAGGAGATGACATTTTCCTTTGTAGCAGATAAAATGACGCACTCAAAAATGTTACAAAGTGGCAGGTGTGTGTGTTACTTTTAGGATCACGTTTCAGCTTTTTAAATACTTTTGCTTTTTAGAACTATTTGGTCCATTGGTTCTAAATGAATGTAAATGAAATGCGATTTCTATGTAATTTTTTAAAATAGCTGGATTCAGTTTCTTTTTTTTTTCTTTTTTTGTGCAAACAATACATTTGTTATGGACTATTTTCAGCACTGGATTTGAACGAAACCCCTAAAGGTTTGTGCATTTTGGTCCAAAAATTTTCCTTGTAAGTTCTATGTCGACCTATGTCGCAATGAAGGCTGATTCCTTGGATAGGTAGCTTAAATTCATTTACAAATATCTTGTATTGTTGAGGTAAATCTGACTTGAGGAGAGTCTTACTACTGTTTTACAACAAGCTAAGAATATATAACTTGGCTTGATTTTCATTCCCCGGACAGTTTCTAAAAAAGAACTAGACTGTTTTCTTTTTAAAAAAATTTTTAAATGTGCATTATAAGAATTCTGTGACAGGCCAAGAATAACATGAAAATTGTGACATTTTCAATGACACAGTTTTTATTTGTGCGCAGATCCGTAATGAACCCACACCTGTTTTAAATTAATGTCCCACCGCTCTGTTTGTAGGTCCACAACGACCTGGCCTGTACTTCAGACCCCTACACTTGCCAAAGATCTGTCAGCCTCTTCCTGCCATGGGAGGGAGAAGTCAGGCTACATGCCACCAATGTGACCTTCAAAGGCCAAAGGTTAGCTGCTTTCTCTCTGTATGTTTTATTTTACATCTCTTCAGGTAAGGTGATGTTTATACGATACTGGAATCGCCCTGTTTGTGTTTAGTTTGCAGCTGCCTCAACACATCCACGACCTGCAGCTGGAGCAGATTTCACAGTACGTGCTAGTAACGCAGCAGCACGGCTTCACGCTGGCATGGGAGGGACGAAGCGGCTCTGTCTACATCAAGCTCAGTCCAGAGTTTGTGGGCAGAACTTGCGGCTTATGTGGTAACTTTAATGCCGACGTCCACGATGACCTGAAGATGAGCTATGGTGAGATCATTTTCAGTCTCATTGCTCATGTAGCATCTGCTTATGTCTCTTTCAGTTGTGTAAATCCACAAAGAGCAGCAGCTGATCTTAGGGTTTCTTACACCAGTTGAATTCCAATTTAACCCTTGAGTATACAAATTTTTCTCTTTAGGCGAGGAAGCAAAGCCACCCTCTACAATGCAGGCAACAGCAAATAGAGATAGATTTTAAAAAAAAAATCTCTTTGTTTTTATCTGCTTTTGTTCTTCATGACACATACAATACAAGTTGAGTACATTCATTAGAATTATAAGAGATGAAGTCTGTATTCCTTTTTATTACAGTATTTATATGACATGAGTTTTAGTTTACTTGGCAAAAAATAGAAAAGGAGCTAGTTCTTTTTTAATACTTTGAGTACATTTCAGAGTCTGTACTTTTTAATTTTTGCTTGAGTAAAGAAGTTATGTCCATGAAACAGATTATTGAAAAATTAAGTATCTGTACTTCTATTTAAGTGATGAATCTGTGTACTTTTGCCATCTCTGCTGAGCCATGACTGGTAAGCAGTGGTTATAAGTTTAACATTCAGCTAAAAAGTGAAAGGTCAAGGTTAAAACTGATGGTGATCCTTGAACCATGAAGTAGAAAAGACACGGCTCACTTTTTCTTTTAAAACACTCAACTGAACTCCAGATGTGAAGAAGTGTAAAGGAGGCAAAACTACTGACATAATTAAATAGACATGATATCTGTTTCTTAGGCGTGCTGACTCGTGAAATTGAAATGTTTGGGAATAGCTGGGTAGAGACACATCCACATGAGGAAAGATGTCCTATGGTGCCTTCTGGCTTCCCTTCACCTTGTGCTACAGTCGAATCTCATGTTTTACTGGTAAGGTGTCAAATAAAACAGCAACTGCGAGATGAGTGAAATGAAACTGAGAAAATTACCTACTAGATGAGTAAAAAAGTGTTTTTGTGTGTTTTGTGGTGACAGAAGGTGGAGGAGGTGTGTGCAATGCTGCTGGATCCACCATTTCAAAGCTGCCATGACTTTGTCAGTCCGCTGTCCTACATGGCCAGCTGCTCCAACGACCTCTGCATGTAAGAGCAACCGATTTAAGATCTAGTTGTTGGAAGGGTTTCATTTTGAGGAAAAATCTGAGTGTTGTCAAAATTATATGGTATGAACCATTAGTATCCATAGTTTATCCTTGTGAAATGTGTGGAATCTTTCTCCTACTTTAAAATTAGAAGAAACATTTATTTAGTTTCTGCTGATATTGTTCATGACAGCAGAGTCATGAACAATGACTCTGCTGTCATGAACAGCAGAGTCATTGTTCTGAATTACTGATACTAATTCTGAAGCAAATCAAAACATCATAAAAGTTTGACACATACGTAACATTATCTAAAAATTAGTAACATCCTGTACAGGTGGTTGGAGAGCCCTTTTTTGCACATATCCTTATGTACCCACATTTTAGTTTTTGCATTTCAATCCATGTCCTCAGACTGTGAGCACTTTGGTTACTTACTCGTTCAAAATGATCCCACTCTAAAAGACACTCAGTTGTGTCTTTCATGGCTCACGTCCATGATCCTGAACGTACCCCCCTCTGAGAGTAACATTAGCCATGGCAATCTGTTCCTACAACTAAAGAACTAAAGAAAGAATTTACTTTATGACAGGATTCACTTGGTCTGAAGTCATCACTGTCATGACTGACGTAGCTACACTACAATTTGCCAACTATAAGTATAAAACTATATAGCTTTATTTATTAATTTTGTATGCTAGTTGGAAACTGGTGAGAGCAGCTGGTGAGTAGTTATTTATTTGAGCTGCACAGTCTCATTTTAGCATAACTGGCTCTGTAGCTACACCTCTCCTGGCTCTTCTCAAAGAGTTCCTTTTTGTTTTTTACCCTGTTGAAGGTCGGATCCCAATGGTGATGTGGTATGCCAGGTGTTCACCGAGTACGCCCGGGCATGTGCCCATGCTGACCACCCACTGCATGAGTGGAGGCAGCACATTCCTCAGTGTGGTACGTTTTTCCAGGTGTTTTAAAATGTGTGCCAGGATAAACAGAAGAAAAATGATACATTTAGTTTTACTTGTAGCTGAAATTGTTCTATTTTTTATTTCAGATGATAAATGATATATTTACAAGGTTAAAAAAAATAAAGTCAAGTCCAAAAAAATGATTTATAAAGATTTATAAAAAAGGGATTTACCTGAACATAGTAGATAAAACAAAATATGAATGTGGAATAATTTACAGGCACAGATGCTGGGTTAAAATAATTTATACTAGTAGAATAGTTATAAAGGGCTATCTAATGTAAAATAATTAAGAATATTTAAGTGTGGAAGTTAACTGGAGGGCAGGTTATTAACAGGCTAATGAACACCAGCTAGCTAGAAAAGGTGCTAATTGAGCACATTTGTTTATGTTTTGCAGACGTGTCAGGTTCAAATTTCAGTTTATAACCTGTATTTCGGTGATCATGGCAACAAGAGTAATTGGGCTTTACAGAAGCAAACTTAAAGCTTTGACGTATGTGTTGTGTTTTGTTTTTGTGACCAGTGAAGCGGTGTTCTCTAGGACTGCAGCACAGGGAATGTATCAGCTGCTGTCCGGAGTCCTGCAACCTGGAGCGAACGTGTATTGACAGTAAGCTCACCTGCCTGGATGGATGCTATTGTCCCGATGGTGAGTGTCTGTTGAGATTCTGCTTCTTATGTTCCTATTCAAAATAGTTCCTTATCTTTATAGTTTGTCTTGTGTAATGACCTTAACATAAATCTCATAATGATAAAAAAATATTGTTATTACATTGCCTATACTTTACTTTTAACACATTATTTGCATTTTCTGTCTTATCAGTCTTATGATTTTTTTTTTTCATCCCCAGATGATCTGAAGTCTGAATCTGAATCTCTAATCTTTGTCCCCAGGTCTAATATATGAGGATGGAGGCTGTGTAATGCCTTCTGACTGTCCCTGTGAGTACCACGGTATGTTTTATCCATCTGGTCAGACGCTGCAGGAGGAATGCAACACCTGGTGAGCAGTGGTAACACTTCTGTTACCTTGTATGTCATCATAAATATCTGGATGAAGAGACTTAAACGTCTTTGGTTTGTCTGTTTAAATACTCTTCATCCCATAAAAAGCTAGGGAACAGTGAGGCGTGTTTTATTTTTACAGTTTTTTAATAACATCTCTGGCAAAACTTCATAACGTGACAGCTTTGATTTTCCTTGTGTAATAAAAAATTGCGGTATTGTGTATTAAAGACAAGATATTATCCTACGCTCCCTATACAGTCCTTTTAATCTTCTCAGATCTGACCACCTGGGTGCAGTGAGTCCAATTTCTTTCAGTGATCCTGCTGATTAGCTCAGCCTTTCATGTTCCCAGAGCCACCTGTGGACGTCTCTGCTTTCTGTTTCAGTACATGCGTGGGTGGAGTGTGGAACTGCACTGACTACAGCTGCCCAGGTTTGTCCCTTTCCCCTGTGGGAAATGTTTATTGATATACTCGACTAGTAAATTTTTCAACAAGATTCAGTGAATTTGATTTCAGACTTAAATACTTTCAGTCTATACAATGATTCCATGAAAGTGTTTGATGGGGACTGTGAGAGTTAGGTTGGAGAATCATTCCCAAACAGACTTGAGGCTGTCATCCATGCCAAAGTGGCTTAAACCAAGTACAAAAGTCTAAAGAAATAAATTTTAAATGGATAATTTTAGTAATTAGTGAGTTATTTTAGTCACTTTACTGCATTTACAAAACACTTCTGGCTTTGATGGTTCATTGTTAAGTAATGTGCGAAAACTATTTTTGAGAAGAGAGAATAGACAGTGTACTAAGGGAAGAGAAGAGTTTATTGGTAAGGTACTATAAAACACCTGCCCCTGTTGGACAGTGAAAAGAAAGTTGGAATATATGCTTCTTTTTGAAAAAGAAAGATGACTAAGGCAAAAGTTCTAATAGAAGGACAGATTTTGCCTTGTTAGAAATGGGAAAAAAAGCATGGACTCATGGAATCAAGAGGAACAATAATTCTTGACATTTTCAGAATGGTAGCAAGTTATTAAAGGTTGAACTTGTTGATTTTAAGAGACACAAATTAAAGAAATATGCAGAAGAATGCTGTGGTAGAATGGAAGAAAAAAAATCTTTATACTTAAGGGGGAAATAAAGTTTGTGGTTCTTGTGCATAGAAAAACCAAGCTTCCTTGTAAAAACCAAGTGCAAAGCAGTTATATTAGATATGGAACAAAGCAAGGCTGGAGAAAACTCACAATAATAGCCGTGGACCAAAAACAGACGAGGTGTGATATTTACACAGAGAGAAAAACATAAACTGTCAATTGATTAACATGCACAGGACTGTTTATTTATTGCTATAGTAGTGCTATGGAACGGGATACATTTGCATGAACTTTTGTTTAAAGTACACACATGGACACTCACAGTAAATGTACCACTCTGTCTGCAGGCGAGTGCTCGGTGACAGGCGACATGTATTTTCAGTCCTTTGATGGACGGATCTATACTTTTCCTGCAACATGCCAGTATGTCCTCGCCAAGAGTCGCAATTCAGCAAAGTTTACAGTAACCATCCAGAACACCGCCTGTGGAGCTGTGAGTTACACATTATCTGCTTGCTTGTTCTGACATGATTGTTACATTTTCCTACCTATTTGACAGACTGCACAACTCCCCCACTTTACCTACTGCAATCAGAACTATTCACTTGCTCGGCTTACAAATACGTGCGATTTGTCTTTCATGTAGATCATATCATATCAAAAACCTACAAAAGACTGAGAGCTTCGTCTCTTTCACCCTCATCTCTGAGCCTTCAGTTTCCCGGCAGACTTTTGAGCTGCTGAGCAGACAGGTGATGGGAGATATGAGATGTCCCACTTGTCAGAGCCAAGGCCCGAGACCTCTAACAGCCAACTAAACAGGATTACCTTATCTAGCCTGACTGACAGAGCTGCGGACAGCTTTGTAGTGAAGTGGGCACTGGAAGGGTGGGGGGCTTGGACAGAGAGGAGGTTATGCAAAAACAGGAGGTGAATGATGGGAAGAGTAGGAGGGATGATAAAACCTTTTGGTTACGGGGCTTTGCCATTCATGAAAGAGATGATTCATAGCAGCAGGTTGTTTATTGTCTCACTCAGACTTCCTTACTTTTGAAATAAAAGTGAGCCAGAGTAACTTGGGTGATTTTGTGAATTAGTGATGGCCTTGAGCATTTATATTTTATAGCTCCATTAAGTTTTATAGTCAAACTGTACAATCTGCTGATACATTATAATAAATAAGACTTTTCTGTTTTAACAATGCTTGGCCCAAGGAGTGGAATATCTGTCAGTGGGTATTGTTAGATGTCAACTGCTATAACCATTGTCACCAGTTATGCCTGGTATTTATGTGATTGTTTTGCATAATTGTGCATTGAAAGTTCCTAAAACACTTGAATTGTCCTGTCACATAAAATTAAAATGACTTCATTATAGCTATAAGAAACATTTTGACATTAACAATGGACTGCATAGTCACCTGTATGTCTGAAAGATTGATTGATTGAAATTCTTTAAGCTTACTTGGTTTCATGTGTGTGTTTTTGCTGGTCTGATTCACTGCCACTGTTCTCACAGTGCTGTTTAGGAGAGGAGGGCAAAAGTTGCAGCGGGGCTGAAAGAAACCACCAGTTGCTAGTTTCATCAGCTTAGAGGGTCATTATATTATGTCAGTGCTGTATTTACAGCCTTGTTTCCGCTGCCCTTAAGAAACAACAAAAATCTATTATTGTAGGTTTATTGGCACCAGTGTTGAGTGATGGAACCAGGCAGAACAGGCAACATAGTCTCCAGTTTAAAACTCACATACCAAACCATTCATTCCAACCTTCTTAAAACCCTGTTGATAAAGACATACAGTGTCTTCATTTATTTCAGCAGATCAGTACAGTGAGTTGCAGAGCATGTTCCATGTGCCTGTGATTATTTATTTCCATATATACATATAGACTGTTCGCTACTATTGTCACCTGATTCTATTATTAGCCACTTTTTATTATCTGATAAGCTTTTAAACTCTGGATCTATTACTAAAGTTGAGCCTTAATGTTTTTGTTAAATGAGTATGCAGTAGCCTGCTACCAGTGTTGGTCAAGTTACTTGAAAAAAGTAATCAGTAACTAATTACTGATTACTTCCCCCAAAAAAGTAATCCCATTACTTTACTGAAGTCTCTTTTTTTAACTTGTTTTATCAGTTTTAATCTTTTAACTTTATGCATCAAGCAAAAAATTTAATTATATGCAACATTCTCTGACTTGAATAAATTAGTTTAACATTTAAACCTATTTTCTACACATTCCAGCACATAAAATAAAATATTTTTTGAGTTTTACACTCACTCTTTCAAATAGATGCAAGTAAAACACAGCAGAAAATAAATAAAGTCAAAGACTCAGCGGTCCTGTTGCTCTATTTTCACCTGTAAAGCAGGACTGCGGTAGGCGGAGGTTTACCCTGGTGCAGGTGTGCCGCGGTCAGTTGAAGAATCCGCGAGTTTCTCTGTGATTTCCCATTACGTCGTTGCGCACTCGGTGCTTGCTTGGAAGTTTAGGGGTTTTTTTCGCTGTAAAAAGAAGTTTTCTTCCCACGCACATGGACCTAATGTTTTTGTCACTTTTTATGGAATCAAACTCAAAGTAAGGTCAGTACTTCCACGCTTTAAACGCTGCACGCTCATACTCTCTCCCACAATCGATATATGATCCATTGTTGATCTGCACACAGCTGTTGTCACTAACGGCGCACTCGCTTACGTCACTGTCATGAGACATTCTCGCAAAAAATCACGGTTTTAGTAACGCAGTAACGCAGCGTTCCTACGGGAAAGTAACGGTAATCTAATTACCGTTTTTGCAATAGTAATCCCTTACTTTACTCGTAACGCCCATCTCTGCCTGCTACATATGTAGCTTTTCATAGAAAATAAAAGGAAATATGCATACTGGTAAATGGTAAATAATAAGAACAAAAGCAGGTCTCTTGCATCTCCATTTTCTTTCCTGCATGCAACAAAAGCCTGATAAAGTGTGATTGATCAACAAAAAAAATAGCGATTACCAATATCCCTTCCTTCAGAATTTGCATGTCCATATGCAGAGATTTGTTTCTACAGATTAAACTACCAGTAATGGTGGAAATTTTCCATCTAACATCATTGTAGGGTGGGTTATGCATAGTACACTCTGTAGAGGCTACGGTGCGACTTCAGACTTTTCCTTAGGTTGAAATCAGAATATTATTTTCCATTTTTATAGATTTTGGTATTTATTTAGCAGCACGGTGGCACGGTGGTTAGCACTGTTGCCGCACAGCAAGAAGGTCCTGAGTTCAATTCCACCATCAGGCCGGGGTCTTTCTGTGTGGAGTTTGCATGTTCTCCCCGTGTTTGCGTGGGTTCTCTCCGGGTACTCCGGCTTCCTCCCACCGTCCAAAGACATGCAGCTTGTGGGGATAGGTTAATTGGATAATCCAAATTGCCACTAGGTGTGAATGTGCGAGTGAATGTGAGTGTGAATGGTTGTCTGTCCCTGTGTGTTGGCCCTGCGACAGACTGGCGACCTGTCCAGGGTGTACCCCGCCTCTCGCCCTATGACAGCTGGGATTGGCTCCAGCGCCCCCCGCGACCCTGAAAAGGATAAGCGGAAGCGAATGGATGGGTATTTATTCCATCACTACACACCAGCAACCTGTCTAACAGACTAAAGCCCTCTCTCTTTATTATATTTCCCTCATTTTTTCAGGAAGAGTGCTTTATTTGAGTGTCTTTCTTCCCATTATTTCATTCTGCTTAACTGTTTGGGAAACTGTCTGAACGCTTTATCAGACCATCTCGTCTCATTTGCAGAATCTGGATGGGGCCTGCATACAGTCAGTTAACCTGGTAATTGATGAAGATCCAAGAACAGAAATTACTCTGAGTCACATTGGAGAGGTCTTCATTGCTGGACAGTACCGCATCTCCCTGCCCTATTCTGATGGTAACCTCCTCATCTTTTATCACCTTCCAGCATTGTTCTCATCCAGGGCCCGACTTTATTCAGCACTCTGTGGGTTATGGCAGGGACAGATTGAATGACAGCTGTGCTATTGAATGAAAAATTTTCACAATACTTTACTGGGTTAGCTCCTACATTGTGTTGCACAAAATGTCTTTCCTCTGAGCATTACTCATTTTACATGAGGCTTTTGTGTGCTTTATCTGACAGCGTCTGAGAGTGATCTGATATTTTGAACCTGAATGAATAAAAACACTAATAGCTATTGCTCTTTATGTTCTGTTACAGATTTTCCATTCCTTCATTTTATACAACTGTACTTATACACATAAAGAAGAAAAGGAAACAAGTTCCAAATAAAATTCCACAAACAGTTTTAACTGAAATGGCTGTTTTATTATGAATGATATACTTTTGGGATATAGGCTGTTGTTCAGTCTACACTGGCACCCACCTAAAAGCTGGATTCCACTAAAATATGTGTTTGGATATGAGTGATATAAATTTCATCGTCATTCTTACTCAATTATGCTTTATTTATTAAAGATTCCGCTATAGAGTTTGTAACTACAATTAATTAATCAATTAATTAATTAGTATTGGTGCACAAGTGCTGCTGATGCCCTGTCTATAGTGATAATTTGCAAAGTGATGTAAAAGTGTACCAGGAACAAAGCAAGGAAGACGAAGATTTGTAGACTGGTAGCTTGATCCATAGTTTGGGGAAAAATTATAAAGTAAAAGAACAAGCTTTGCACACCACCAGCTTTGAGCTAAATAATGTCCTATATATATCTCCTGCAGACCTCTTCCACATCCAGGAGCTATCATCAATGTTTGTCCAGGTGAGGACGGTGTTCGGCCTGCGTCTGCAGTACAGCTGGAAGGAGTTTCGCCTTTACCTGCAGGCGGATGAGCTGTGGAAGGATGACACAGTGGGGCTGTGCGGCACCTTCAATGGCAACATTCAAGACGACTTCCTGTAAGTGTGTGCTGGCTGACCTTTGATCCCTCTTGCGCTCTTGGTTAACCCCTCCTCCAATAATACAGAGAGAGTGCATGCTCTTGTTTCAGAGGCAAAGAGGGAGGTGATGGTGAAGTGCTCTCCCTCTCACACTTACTCTCTCTGTAATGCACACTGGTCGGCGGCTCAGCATCAAAAGCCCAGCTCTATGATCAGCTCTTTTAGGGGGACTAGATGAGCGCCCAACTGGACACGCCACTTCAACAAGGAATTTACTGTTAGCGGAATAGGAGCTCCACTGTACCGTATCGTAATGGCTGACTATAAAGGGCGGATGTTGTCTAACAGCTGTAAATGGATATACATCACAGTTACTGACTGAAGTGCCCGTATGCTGCTAAGAAGTCACTTTTCCTGAAGCACTACTAAAAGACTGTAGTTAAAGTGATGACTTGCACAATTTTAACCTTTTGTTTTGTTTTTGCTTTGCTTTGCAGCTGCAGTCATTTCAGACACTTAGTTGCATAGTTAGTGGCAAAAAAAGAAGAGGAGTAAGTCAGAAAGAACTGCAGGCAGCTATTCTACTTCAAAGAGAATTGGGTGAAACCCATCTGATTAATAGTGGCTTGGGCGGAGGTGGGACTCCCGTGTCAGTCGCTTCTAGCTTGCTATTGTACTCGTATCAGTTCCAGGTCCAGCATGTTTCAGAGAAGGATCAAAGAAGTACAAGTAAAATGTGTATTTAATACTGCACATATTTTCTTTAAAAGTTTAAAAAATGCAGTTCACTTCAAATAAATGCCTTTAAATTCAGTTTTATGTATGCAACTTCAAATCACACCAACAGTTTCAAAGAGCTTTAAGGGAAAGACCTGACGAAAGAAAGAAAGAAAGAAAGAAAGAAGAAAACTCTCCAACAATCAAAGAACCCTCTATGAGCAAGCACTTGAGAACAGTGGGAAGGAAAAACTCCCTTTGAACAGGAAGAAACCACCACCAGAACCAGGTTCAGGGAGGGGCAACCATCTGCTACAACCTGCTGGGGTGAGGGGAGGGAGCCCGAGATGAACTAAAGTGGTGTATAAACATAGCGAGTGAATGAAGGAGAACAGAACCTCTCAGTATATCATGGGAAGCCCCCTATTGCAGTGTAATTAAGGGAGGGTTCAGGGTTACGTGATCCAGCACTAACTATGTGCTTTATCAAAAAGGAACGTTTAAAGCCTAATCTTGACAGTAGAGATAGCGTCTGTCTTCTGAATTCAAATGGGAGCTGCAGAAGAGGGGCCTAAAAGCTGAAGGCTCTTCCTCCCATTCTACTTTTAAATACCTGACGAACCACAAGTAAACCAGCAGTCTGAGAGCAAAGTGCTCTGTTGGGAAGATACAGTATAATTGGGTCTTTAAGGTAAGATGGGTCCTGATTATTCAAGACCTTGTATGTGAGGAGCAGGATTTTTTAATTTGATTCTGGGTTTAACGGGGAACCAATGAAGTTTGTCAGTATGGCTGAAACATGCTCTCTGTTTGCAGACCCTGTCAGTTCTCTCACTGCAGCATGTTATGTTAACTAAAGGCTTTCAGTGAGTGTTTAGGACAACCTAATAAAGAATTGCAGTAATGCAGCCTACAAGCAATAAATGCATAACCAACTTTTTCAGCATCACTGAGACGGGATGATTCTAATTCAAGAGATATCATAAATGCAAGAAGGCAGTCCTACATATTTGGTTAATATGCACATATCCTGGTCAAAAACAACTCCAGTGTTACTGAAGGTCAATGTAATGCCATCCAGATTCAGTAAGTCAGTAAGACACCATGTTTGTAAGATTTTTAGGACTGATTACAATAATATATAATCTCCTGCCATGCTCAGTGACCCCTGTTTCAATCCATGGGGTCGATGTGGATGTCACAGTGCACACTCTTGATGTCACATCCTCTACAGAGAAAAGTCAGTATAATAAGAGGGGCACCTCAATGTCAACTACACATATTTAATTTTGTGTAACATTCAGTAATATTTATAATTATAGCTATTTTGTTATATTTTATAACTTGTAATATATTGTAATATTTAATTTAATTTAGTTGGTTACTGTTCTTACTGTCTTTGAGCAACTGTGACCACATAATTTGCTCTGGGATTATTAATTATTCTGATTCTGATATTATCAGAATGTTATTTTGTGAACACAACAACACTTGTAACCACAAAAATCAAAAGGCAACTCTTCATTCACACGATAGCACTGGACTCACTTTATAAAAATGACTTTTTTTCTATCTGTGTGCTGTCATACTGATTCCTTGCTTTGGTTTTGGTTCAGATCTCCATCAGGTATGATAGAAAGCACTCCTCAGCTCTTTGGAAATGCCTGGAAGGTTTCGTCTGCGTGTTTGTCCAGCCTGAGTATGCCTCAGCTTGATCCCTGTGATACACACCAGCAGGCTGGTCAGTTTCTCTTCCTCCTTTTTTCTGTTTCAGTAGAGAAAAATAACATATTTACTCAGTCGTATAACATTTATTATGTTAAACTGCGTAAGTGGTGCTTTATAAAATAAAACATATGTATTATTATAAAACGTTTGGACATTTTGATGTTGATATCACAGTAAAAATGTATCCCAAGCTCTGTTTAAGGTGTAAATCAGTTTAGTTTCTACTTTTATTCTTATATTTGTACACACATATTTATTTGTATTATCCAGTGAATTTACAATGATTATGATATAAATGAACAACTTTAAAAATATTTTATTTAGGGTTTGTATTTGATTCATGACATCAGAATCACAGAGAGCAAGACTTGTTTACTTGAATTATTTCTAAACTATTTTTAACAGTGACCTATGCTTCAGAAATGTGTGATGTGCTGAATCAGGATCTGTTTGCTGCCTGTCATGAGTACCTCAGTCCAACACCCTTCCATCAGCAGTGTCGCTCCGATACCTGTAAGTGTGGGACGCCTTGCCTCTGCTCGTCGCTGGCCCACTATGCTCGCCACTGCCGTCGATTCTCCGTCATCATTGACTTTCGATCACAGATATCTGACTGTGGTGAGTCACATTCACGCCAAACATATTTTGTCCAAGAATGTACCTGCTGCTACAGAGATGTCAAAATTAGCAATTATTTCTGACATATTTTTTGTTTTCATGTCTAATATCAAATCCAAATATTTCTCCCAACTCACCGTTCAAGGTCACAGATGATTTTCAAATTTCAGCTTGGAGGACATTTTAATATTTCAATATATATGTCAGTATGTCATATGAGTTATTGGCAGGACTGTTCATGGAAGTTTAATCTTTTAGGGAATGACATGGAAAAAAAAATCAGTTTAGATCAAACAGTATCAGTGCCAGCTTAGGAGTAATTTTGGAAAATTTTCCTACCAAAAACTTTCCCAAAGAAGGTATGGGATGTCTTGAAAGGTGAAACTACACTCAAAGTGGTCACCCACAGGTTTAGGGTAATCACGGGGCAACCACAGGAGTTTGTCATCCTATTTTTATTCCAGTGTGAGTCATTAAGTTAGAACGTGAGTGCATTTTAATGAGATCCACAACAAACATCATTCTTTGTTTAAATACTGGAGCACACTAATGACATGTGCCTCACTGGTTTTATGGATGACAACAGATATCAGGTCTATTTCTTGAACGTTACTCAGTGGATGAACTGATGTCACGAATCTGAAATGATTCTGCACTGTCCATTCAGCTTGCTTTTATTGGCTCTCTCGCATGTCACACACTTTAGAGATGACTGGACAAACTAAAGTTTTAAATGATGAATTAACAGACATACACAAACCATCATTCTGCTCCAATCAGTAGCTCTACACTTTGTTGTTAAATTTGATAACTTGATGAAGAATACAGTGACGCCATCATCAAGTTAATTCCCATTAAAAGGCCAAACTGACTGTGAGTCTGAGTCTTTGCTGAACTCTGTCTTGCCCTGCAGCTGTCACCTGTCCTGCCAACATGCAGTACGGCATCTGTGTGTCCTCCTGCCAGCGCCGTTGCTCCTCCCTCTCTGTCCCACAGCACTGTGGGGAGGAGTGTGAGGAAGGTTGCGTCTGTCCTCTGGGTTCCTTCTACAATCACCGAACACACACCTGTGTGCACAGGTAAGGACGAGGAAGTGATATTCGCAGGTAGAAGTATGTAAAGGCAAAAAAATGATGAAATATTTATATGATGAAGCAGGTGGGACTTAATACCCAGAGCAGCTTCAGTACTACCTGCTGTGCTGATGTGGAGGGTGGTGAAGCTGGAGTGACTCCACCAAACCAATCCACTCAAAGTGATATTTGTATCTGCTTTGAAGTTTAGGTCAGCTTCTAAGTAGAAAACCTGGTATCTTTGCTGCAGACATTGTAGACCCAGAGGACCTCGGTAATTGTGCTCTCCTTTTTAGCTTGCTCTGCCCTAGAAGACATGCAGCTTAATTCCTCTTAAATGTCCCAGGTTTTTACATCCTAGTGCAGCGCCATGCCTTACTTACCATGTGATAGAGTTACATCAAGGAATTCATCGTGAAACCCCCCTTTCATTCCCACTCGGGCTGGGGACGACAGATATCTGATAACCAGTGAGAAAGAATTTGTAGTACAGAAGCTGATGTGTGGCACTGGCCTATATGTTACAAAGGCTTTTAGCCTTAGCTAAACATAAATTACCACAATGTATATTATATAAATCATACAATACTGTATTTTTTTCAAGTAAGACTGGTCTATTTTGCCCCCTCCACTTCTCCGTAATTAACATTGGTAAGGAAAAAAATTAAGCAGTGAATGTATATTTATGGGGGGAACCAAAGTCGGTCCGTTTAGGTTTGTCACAAGTTCAAGTCAGGTTGTCTCTTTTTTTCCAGGAGCGAGTGCCCCTGCAGTTTCCTTGGAGCAGATTATGAACCAGGAGATGTGATCATGACTTCAGCAGGCGTTCAGTAAGCTCCTCCCCTTCATTTCTACCTTCAGTCTAGACTTATGAGTGTCAGGCTTTATTTTTGAAAATAAATTCTGTAACAATGAACTGTGACATTACTGATATTACATGAGGCAGTTTAGTTAGCAGTTAGAGAAAGCACAGAAAACACTGGGAACTGCCTTTAATTTAGTCAGTTAAAATAATGCAGTACTGAGGAGCAGAATTTACTTTCAGAACAAAGGAGTCTAAAGTTTCTGGTTTGCTGTGGTTCAGATTTCCTAATTTTTTCTCAATAAAAAGGCTCCATAGTGATATAAAGCTCTACCTCCTGTCAGTCACGACCACATAAAAGGAAAATCTGTGTAAGAAAAGTTTATATTTTTCTAGAGATATTCTTTTCAATCAAGTGTTTCAAGTCAAATGTTTGAATGAACAAAAGACTCCAGAAAATTAAAAAATTTTCAAAATAGAAAAAAGTTGCTTTGTTTAATTCAAATTGTTACTTTAAGTTAGGCCAAGAACTTATTAGGTTCTTCCCTGCATATTAAAAATATTACGTTTTAGAGTTCCACAAAAAACAAAAACAAAACAGGAACATTTCTTTCCTGTTGGAGATGATGTTGGATTTCTTGCAAGTTCTGTCCAGAGATCCAACATCAGAAGACTTCTGTCAAGTAATGTAACACAGGCTGTTTGTTTAAATTGTATAGGGACCAGCTGTAATCAGCAACCTTTTTGGTGAAACAATACAATGTGTGGAAGAAAGCTAATATAATTTCCACCTTGAGAAAGACTGAATCACCTGGGGAGTATAAATCTGTTCTTTAAATTTCTAATTTGGTGAAACTCATATTAGGGAAATTACCAAAAATGAGCAAAGTCAATGTAAGAGGACAAATAACAGAAACTACATCCATTGCAGTATATTGACATTATTACCAAAGTACCAAACCTGTATTTAATTTTAAATATGTGAAAATTCTATGAATTTTCTGCAGTTGCCATCATTAAGGTGAGTAATGTCTCTCTGTGCCTCCTGCAGGCTCTGTCTGAATGGTAGACTGGTGTCCCAAACACAAACAGGCACTGGTGAGTCCATTTGATTTTGTTAATCTGATCTTTTTTTTTAATCTTAAGGCAAAAACAAGAATTGAATAATAGAAGTTGAAGAGGAGTTTAGAGCTCAGAGTTCAGAAAGATATTGAGACAAGATCTGGATGGTAGGGAAGAGTTATAGATGACTGGAAGGGTATAGCTGAAGTCGGAAACTACCAAGAAGGCATTTGTCCTGTGGACAAAGAAATGAGAACAAGGAGACTTGGTGGTAGAATGAGGAAGTACAAGACAGTGATAAAAGGAAAAGGTTAGCAAAGAAAAGTGGGATAGTCAGGGAGATGAAGAAAGTAAAGAAGTAAGTTTGGGAGGCTGGGTGAACAGCAAAGAGAAGAGGGAAAGGAAAGTGTTTATAATAAGTTGTACATGAGGCTGGAAAACAAGGAAGGACAAAATGACTTGCGTTGATTAGGTAGGGAGGGAGACTGAGTTGGAAAGTATGTGCAGCAGGTTAGTATGATTCAGGATAGATATGGAAATGTACTAACAAGTGAAGAGAGCGTGTTAAGAAGATAGAGGAAGTATTTTGAGTTTATGAATGTAGAAAATGAGAGAGAGAACAGATGGAGGAAAGTTAATGAATCAGGAAGTGAAGAGGATTAGTAAGGAGGAAGTGAGGGCAGGTATGAAGATGATGGAGAGTGAAAAGACAATTGGCCAATGTGACATGTCTGTGGAATAATGAAGATGTCTAGGAGAGAAGGCAGTGGACTTTTTAAGCAGATTGTTTAATACAGTCTTGGAGAGTCAGAGGATACCTGGGCAATGGAGAAAAAGTGTACTGGTACCAGTTTTAAAGAACAAGAGTGATGTGCAGATCTGTAGTAACTACAGAGTGACAAAGGGGATGAACCTTACTGTGTATATGTTGAAGCTCGGTCAAGAAGAGAGGTGATGATCAGTGAGAAGCAATATGGCTTCATGCCAGGAAAGATCACTGCAGTGCAGATGTTTGCTTTGTTATTGGAGAGTATAGAGAAGGTCAGAAGAAGTTGTACTGTGTCTTTGTGGATCTTTCTTATAGCCAAGAGAAGAAGAAGTATGTGAGGATAGTGCAGGACATTTAAAAGGACAGTGAGACAACGTGAGGTATGCAGTGGTGGGGGTGGTATTACAAATTGTGATGGAGGTCAGATAGAAGTGTCTGTGGATGATATTTGCAGCTAATATGTTGATCTGTAGTGAGAGTAAGAAGCAGTAGAAAGAGTCTGGAGAGGTGGAGGTATGCTCTGTGAAGAAGAGGAATGAAAGTTAGTAAAAGGAAGACAGAATATATTTGTGAAGGGAGACAGGAGGAAAGATGGACATGCAAGGAGGAGCAATAATGAAGTTGGATGAGTTTGAATACCTGGGTTGAACCATCCAAAGCAACAGACATAAGAAAAGTAAAGAATGTTCGAGTGTGGTGGAGTGGGTCTAGATGAGTGTCAGGCTGATTTGTGATAGAAGGATCGCAGCTAGAGTGAAAGTTTACAACATGGTAGTGAGACCTGCTATAATGTACGGTTTGGAGATAGTGGGACTGACAAAAGATCGGAAGCTGAACTGGATGTAGCAGAGCTGAAGATGTTGAGTGTTTTTGAAACCAAGATGGACAGGATTAGTCATGAATACATCAGAGGGACAGCTCAGGTTGAACAGTTTGAGAGGCAGGGCTGAGATGGTTTGGACATGTGCAGACGAATTATAGAGAAGATTCACAGATGTAGTGAAGGAGCACATGCAGAGGGTGGGTGTGACAAAGGAGGATGGTAGGGATATAATGAGATGGAGGCAGGTGACTGACTGTGATACCCCCTAAAGGAAGTAGCCAAAAGAAAAATAGTCAGTGGATATATATGTTTGTGTCATATCAACTTTCATACTGTGAGAAATTACAGTCTTAAGAAAATGTGAAAAAGTGCCTTTTTTGATAGTGAAGATTAATAATGCATGAGCTAAAACATTGGTGTGTTTATGTTGCTCAGCATTCATACCTAACAAACTAATTTTTCACTCTTCTTCACTGTCAGTTTAAAAGTGACACCAAAAATCTACAAAAAATCTGTGATGTCATTTTTACTTACAGACAGATTGTGTCCAGAAGGTCAGATCTACCAGAACTGTTCAGAAGGGGAGGATGGCCTCCTGCCGGGAAGGGGTGTGTCCTGTGAGCGCACCTGTGAGTCTTACCTGCTCAACGTCACCTGCTCATCACACGAGCCCTGTCTGGCTGGATGTGTCTGCCCGCCTGGGTGAGTGACAGCTAGTACAAATGTATCCTGTCCATTGGTGAATAGTTATACATAGAAGGTAATGGCTGCTTTATAATGTAAAAAAACTCCTTTTGATTGGACAGTACTGCACTTTTAAAATCCATTTTATTTTAATTTGATTGTAATTCTTCATTTCACAATTTTAAACAAAAGCTACTCTCGTTGTTATGGAATCCAAATTTAAAAAGGGAAAAGGAGAAAAATAGAGAATTGAATATAAAAAAATAGAAAAGGTATCTGGAAAAATGTATTTGCTTTCATTCAGCTGACTCTCTGGGATGTGTGATCTGTAGCAACAAACTAGTAAATAACAGAATTCAAAATAGAAAGATCAAACTGATTATTCACACTTCTCCACTCATAATAACCCTGAGATTCTTGTGCACGCATTGGTCTTTAGTCACAGTGCAGAGTGGAAGTATGGTCAGACTAAAGATGGAGACTGAATGTAACAATTTAACATTTTTGTTTCATATCAGGGTAAAACAATGAGGTAAAACAAAGGGTTCCAAACTCCTGCTTAAGTGGTACAGAATCTTGAAAAGTTCACACATAGCAGACTGTAGTTATCCTAGTTAACTGTTTGGTATCAGGTTGACTGAGCAAAGGAACAAGATGTTTTTCTTGAGCAGTAAAGGTCAAGAAATGAGTGTTTCATTTAATGAAATCTTATGCTGTTAGTGTACCTGACTGAAGCTGATGTCACAGAGAAACTGGCTGCAGGTTGATTAAACTTTCTTAAAATGTCACAGAAGCCTGAAATAGTCTTCCACCCCCCTCCTTCCCATACCTGGTGATGCTGCTTGTGTGATACATGTAGTCAGCACTTCATTGTAACCATTTGTTTCCCAACATAAAGTAATAAGCAGACGTAGCTGTTCATTTTGTGTGGACAGTTTGAGATAAACTTAGCCCAGTTGTTCTGTTAACCTGACTCATCTTCTGGTTGAACTTGCTAATTCCCTGCTGGCTTCTAATATACATGAATTTTCCTGGTTTTTAATTCCTTTTTTTGGGGGGGGGGGCTGCCTTGCTTTATCTACTGGTCAGACCAGTAAAATGTACAAGTTGGAATTAAGTTTTTTTGGGGAAATTTTTACATTTATACATTTAAAGATATAATCTTTGTGGAAGTGTCTGTTGATGTGACATAAGGAAAAGTGCAGATTTTCTGTGGCAGACAAAGGACGGGATTCCAACAGATGAAGTGAACAGACATTATGGGTAGAATACAGTCATCTGACCCCTTTAATCCTCTCTGGCTGTCAGCCTGAAAGGGGGGTTAAGTGGTTTCATTCTGTGACATCAACCAAGAGTCATCCTGATTACAATACGCACAGGCAGGGGTTAGTTTAAGGATGTCGCATCTTATGACATATTTGCATAGATTATATAGTTGATTGATGAGAGCGCTACACCTGCAAACAGAAGGATTATATTTTTCGATTTTAGAACTGTCAAAAATATAAAATCTTTGTTTTTCATGTAAAAGCAGAAGAGCTGAATAAGTATACAAAAGAACAATGAAACAGTGTAGCGCTAAAATGGTAACTCTTAAAAGACAATCAAAGATTCTATCTGTGAACCTCAAATCACGTATTTATGAAGGATTTCCATTAACAAATAAAACTGACCTTGTTAGGCTTTCTGACATTGTCAGAGAATTTGGCCCTAGCTTTAATTTGAGAAAAAATAAAACCTATCGCTTAAGGTGATTTGGAAAACTATCTGACCAATGAAAGTCTTACATTTGGAAAACATAGACACCACTGAAATGAGAGACCATCTGGTTTGTTGCCAATATACAGATCAAACACCAACATCCTTGTATAGAGGGATGCTTTTGTAAACATTGGCTCGAGTCACTTGTAAATCAGTGAAGGCACCATTAACGGTGAATGCTATATAATTCTGGACTAACATGTACTACAAAAGATCATCAGCAAGACAATGCTGAACAAATAAACTTTAAATAAATATATATTGTACATATCACGTCAGCATCGATGATCAGGCTCCAAACTGACCTGTCTCAATTCATTTTTGTCACCCATTCACACAACTCACTAAACCCACATGACCCCAAAATATATCAAAGTAGCTGATGTTTGACCGTTAAGCATCTTGTTTGTATCCACCACCATTATACACACCACTGCAAAACCATTAAAAATATAATTCAAACAACTACTAATTGTCTAAATGCGTTTTTAAATAATCTGAAGTACTACTGTACTGTGCTATGTGTATTTATATAGTCAAAAAAATGCTAAAACAAGACCAAGGTTAGATTTTTCTTATTATATGATGAATATAAATAAAAACTTTACATTCAAGACTTGTTTTGACGGAATTACAATGAGTACTAACGGTAACACTAACATTAAAACGGAGCGATCGTGGTTCAGGGACTTGGGAATCTCATCTTGTAACCGGAAGGTTGCCGGTTCGATCCCCAGCCCTGTCTGTTTTGGTCGTTGTGTCCTTGGGCAAGACACTTCACCTACTGGTGATGGCCAGAGGGGCCAATGGCGCGATATGGCAGCTTCTGTCAGTCTGCCCCAGGGTAGCTGTGGCTACAAATGTGGCTTGCCTCCACCAGTGTGTGAATGAATAGTGGAATTGTAAAGCGCTTTGAGGGTCTCGAAAAGAGCTATATAAATGCAATCCATTATTATTATTAAAACATATCTGCTGTCTCTCCAAGAAAATAACCCTAATGTATGTCAGTGAAGACTGCCATTTGCTTAAATTCTTAGTGGTTAAACTGGTGAAAATTAAAGCATAGTCTTTCTCTAAATCTCATTTTGAAGCATAAATGGCAGAAATAATAGAAGCCTTAAGTTTTACTGAACAATTAGACTAATTAAAAAAAAAAGAGGAAACAATCAAAGGTTCTCACAAACGTATTTTTTTATTCAATAAAAGGGCAGATCCATCCCAGAGTATATTGCTATCTAGTTAACTAATATCCATCATTTCTGTGTCTTATTTGTTTTTCCATATTTTTTACCCTCAGTGCCTACCCACCCGTGTTCCTGTCAGGTTAGATGATTAGATTTCAAATTTAAATGTAAAATTATGACATTATACTTGACCTGAATGCATATGCCTTGGTTCACTGGATAAAAAGGGGATCTGTTCTTTAGTTAATCGTTGCCATGGTGAATCTTAGTATTGAAGCTCTGTTGAGGATTGCTTTCTTTCTCTACAAACACATTCAATTCAGGGTCAACATACTCAGAGTTGATTGAACTTACTTTGATCATCCTACTTTCTTAAAGAGGAAACTGGGAGTTGCTGATCTCAGAGTAAATCAGCTCGGAGTTTGTGGTTAGACTCAGAGTTTGTTGAACCGACTTCCTGGAATTTGGCCTTGCATTGAAGCTCCCCTTGGTTACTTTAGCTCTGTTCTATAAATAGCACCAGTCTGGGTTTTCTGCCTGTTACTCAGAGCACTATCTCAGCAAACCTACTGAAATATAGTGATACGGTGAAAAGGTCGGAGAGGGGCAAAAATGGTCATCTGAACCCTGAGTCACCTTTGCTGACCTCACTGGTGTGATTCAGATATCCCTGTTCACTACATGGAGCAAACTGACCTTTTGGGTGTCAACAACATCATAACCTCTAAATCTGTCGTCCAGTTGTAGCTCAGGTGTTTAAAAAGTCACTGAAACCTGAGTTAAAAAATATGGCACAAAGAAATCTCATTCAGCCCTTCTGCTTCTTGATGACAGATGTATTAATGAGTGTAGTGATAGTGAGACAGTTTTAAGGTTCACTGGGAGATCAACTGATCTGTATGAGATCAGCCTGGAGTCATATTCTGCTACATAGAAGCCTGTTTGTTTTCTTGCTAATCAAGGGTTGTTTTTACAGAAGAAACCTTTATTATGATTCTTATTTTAAAGATTTATAGAGTTCACAAATCAGTGATGTTAACATGACTCACCACACCCTCCCCCAAAAATTCTAAATAAGTTTAAAAAGCAAAATTTAACTACCTTAATATTGTATTTTGGTAGCATTAATGTTGGCAAACATTAAATTTAGTCTTAGCTAGCTAGCATTGTGTTTGCATTAGCAGGTATTCAAAATAATTCATTCAGTATTGATATTTAAGTTGTCGAGGGTTAGGGTTACGAGCTAACTGGCAAAATTCTACAGGGTGAGTTTCTCCGTACTGTTAATATTAATATCATTGCTCTTATATATATATGTGCATTTGTGTGATAAATACAAAATATGCAATTTTATTTCCTAATTCATATTTAGAACATACTTTGTGGCTGTTCACTTTGAAAAGTGCTGCTTTCATGCCTTTCGTCCACCTGTAATTTTTCTTTCAGGGCAATGCATGATGGTCTACAGTACTGGGGGCTGTCTTTCTAGTCTTTCACATTTCATCACCAGTCACCAGAATGAATGATAGCAGCTTATTAGCAGCTTCGTTACAGATGCAATCAAGAAATGTGGCTTGTCAGAAATACTTAATCAACCAGTCTGCTATTAGCTATTAGCAGACTGCTAGCAGACACAAGCATAATGTGAGCTTTGTTTCCGGACCTGTTTATTTCTGTTAATTGAACAATATCGCAAGGCTAAGTTCTCTGGTGAAATTAAGCCATCTTTGGTAGAATAGAATTAATAGGATGAGTAACAGTAATAGCTTTTTTTCAATTGTGAACATTGAGCATTTGGGAATTTTTGTGCACAACCTTTTTATGAGACACTGTGGGATTCAGTGAATACACTGTATATTATGTAAATATTCAAATTCACTATGCATTTGGACAGCAATACTAATACCAATAGTGTAAAGGATGAATCTGATGAATAGTTTTTTGCCCAGTGAAAGCATCAAAACAGGAGCTGTTTTGAGGAAAACACCAGGATTCAGTTCAAAACTTACCCCTGTCTGTTTATTGACCAATCTTTGTTAGCATTTCTCAGCAGTTAGTTTATCTACCTTCTCAGATTCTCTTGTCTCTGACCTGAAAGGGCTGAGATGCATTGGCATTTCTTTGTACTGTTTTCAAACAACTTAGTTCTTGAGTATTTTATAGGATGATGTTGGTATTTACTATGCTTTTACAACTGTCTGAGCTTACAGCACGATGAGGTTTGTATAAACACTTTAAAAAAAATAAAATGTCACATGCAATAAAAAAAAATCACAAATCTTTATATAGAGAGTATTTAAAAATCTAAAACACTTGAAACTGGTACATACCAAATTTATTGCAGCTTACTTTCTATATAAATGATGAATTTGAGGACAAATAAAAAAACACATCTTCCCTAACCCTAACCCCCAGACCTGAGATGTAGCTTTTACTTTTAATTAATTCTTCAAACCCTAGTGTCATATTTACATCTTGGACATTGAAATAATAACCTTTATAAGATTTCTGATTTCAATAATATTAACTATATCTCCACAGCTTTAGTTGTGTTTACTAAAGCAGTCAACAAATGATAAGCAGCTTCTTCTTCTTCTTATATTAACTCTACACTTAAATGACTATCAAAATACAAAAACCCTTTCTAAACTCAGAGTCAACTGCAAGGTATTCATCTGAAGCGGGACTTTAAAACCTCTAATGGGAAATGATTAGCTGAGGTGCAGACAGATGAATCCATTGTGTCTGCATTCACAATGGCACACTTTGTTTATGATCAAAATGTAGACCATTCATTCATTCCTTCTGTGTCAATTAGTCCAGCTGAACTCATATGAACCTGGACTTTCAGGTGCAAAACAGAAACATGCAGCCTGCTGGAATTTGGTTTTGGTTACAGGTTTTGTTTTAGTTTAGACTCATGAGATGATTCAGTGTGTTGTAAGCAAAAACAAGTTTAGGTGACAGAGATGATATACCTTGTCAGGTCTGCTGCCTTTTGAAAGAGCTAGTGTGGAACATCTGGTTAAAAAAAAAAAATTATTATTTACTTGCAAAATGTAAAAATGTAGTAAAGTATATCCTCCTCATCCCAGACTTTGCACTAAGATGCCCCAGTACTGAAAAAATGAGGCAATTTGTAGCAGAAATTATTTTATGCATTTTATTAACTGTGAAATGGTCATCATGTCAGCATGTTGTGATCTGTGTGTGATAGATCTCACACACAGGGTGGCTGTGGCTCAGGTGGTAGAGCAAATCAGCTACTAATTGGAAGGTTGGTGGTTCGATCCTTGGCTTCTCCAGTCTGCATGCCAAATATCCTTGGGCAAGATACTAACCCCAAGTTGCCCTCCGATGCGTTCATCGGAGTATGACTGTGTGTGAATGTACTTTAGTTTGCACTTGTGTTTAGAAGTGCTTGTATGAATGGGTGAATGAGGCATGTTGTATACAGCGTTTTGAGTACTCCGGGAGAGTAGAAAAGAAAAACATCAGTCTTTCCTTAAATTATTTTCTGCCCCAAATAAACGGATCAATTCACCTGCTAATCTTGTGAATGTAATTTACGATTGCAAACGTCATTAATAATCTAGGCCATAGGCTGCATACCGTCAGGGATAATTTTCAGTCTATTGTCTCTACTTGGTGTGCAACACTTGGGAGTACACTCAATGCAAGGCAGACTGCAGTCGAGCCATTGCGCTGTTTGACTCATCTGTCATCATGCTTTTCAACTACTTACTTACTCAGTCCATTTTACATCATGCGAAAGAATGAAATTCAAAATGAGGGCTGTGTTTATGAGAATTTATTCATAATGTGCTCATAGGTCAGAACAATAAATGATTTTCATATCTTTGATCAGAGAAATTGATACAGCAGTTTGGCTGCCAGATAAAGGAAGCTGTTAGCACCGTTTTATCTGTGGTGTAACTCTACTCAGATGAACCTGAGGTTTGTGGCGAGACCATTCAGTATGTCACGGCAGCCTCGCCAGTGGATATAGCTCAACCATGGATATTACAAGATACTTATCAGCTTCGTCTTGCAGAGACGAAAGCAAATGGATGGTTGCAGACAAAGACTGTTTCTTTCTCTATCTCTGAGAATCCTAATTGTCTGGTTTTCTCATGTAGCTAACATGAGCGTTACAGTCCACAGTCGCCCACCCCTGAAATTTGTTCTGGGTTCCTGGCATCTCTCTGCTCTGGAAGCAGACCTGCTTTGGCTCTACCTCTGTTATTCTCTTGACAAAATGACAACGCTATAACTTGATAGCATGCCTTTAGGTCACTGTTCTTCAATAGTTAAAAAACACTGCTTTCAGAGAGATTGGATTATTTAGATGCAGAATTTTGAATTGAATTGAATCTTTATTTTGAACATGTTTAAATAGTATAACAACAACAACAGAGAAAAAGAGACAAGCAAACAAAACAAAAGGAAAACAAAGCAATAATAATTATAAATAACTTAAATATAAATATAAGTTGCACCCACACACACATATACACATCCCCTGTGTGAAAATAGTGGGTGAGACACCCGATCAAAACCCTACCTCCTCCCTGTACTTTGCAAAAAACATATTTTTGAACTGAGTCATGCTGATTGCTTCAGTTCTTCACTTAGTCTATTCCACAGCTTCACTCCACACATAGAGATGTAAAAACTTGTTAATTTTGTACGGATACAGGGATGTTTTAAATTAAATTCAACATGATCATTTGGAAATGATTTGCCTATTTAGATTTCAGGAGTGATTAACCCTCCTCAATGAGTGCTTTACAAATTAAATCATACTCTCTGGTAGGGGCAGAGCTGCTTGTGCATCATTTTCATTTGGTAGTAAACGGTAAACGGTCTTTGATTTTTAATTAACGTCTGGCTGGCAGTGGGTGTTTGGTTAGGGTCAGGGAACGTTAGTAAGTAAACGGATATGTGTAGGCTGTTATAGATACTGTTTTTGGTGTAATTATTGGACAATTATTTGTCCGTCAACTTAAAATGAACATAAAATCATGGTAATGGGATTTAAAAATGCATAGTCTTACATTGGTTAGGTTCCTCAAGTGGTGATTGTTGGTTTGTACTTTCATGTTACTCGGTAAACATGTAAATAGCTGACAGAAACTGTCTCATAATCACCATTTAGCAACATAAACCTGAGGCTACAACCCCACACACCAACACAAATCCTTAATGAGGACACACATGTCTAAAATCTTTCTCATAGTAGAATACAACGCTGACCGCACAAAGCAAAAAAAACCCAAAACAGCACAAGTGAGCGATCGCCACAATGATTCTACTTTAGAAAGATGAACAGGTAGAAAGGGAGGCTGCAGCCTCACTCCTCATCTGCTTGTTACCTGTTGAAGTTAAGGGTCTGCATACTCAGTTTGGTATTCACTCAGCTTCCACTCTGGGTTCTTAAACCCAGCTTAGTCTTTGCAAGCACCTGCCAAGACTAAGCTAGTCTTGGCAGGTGCTTGCAAAGAACCAAAGTTGTGTAGCAGCACAATGCGGTTGTTTCTGTCTTGGATGCAGTTTTCCACATTACCATTTATCTCATCATTTTGTGCAATAAGAATACATTTCCATATCCATGCTCTAGACTGCCTCTGACACACATAATTGCAGTACTGGGAACCAGTTTCCTACAAGAACTGGTTCTCGATTCCTATCCGTAAATATCATGGTAATTTTAGACTTCTAATGATTATCTGTTTGATTTTCATGGCACAATACATCACAGCATACATCTTTAAAAAGCAAGACCTGGGTACAGAAGTTTGAATTTACTTTGGAAATTTCTCTAATCCACACAGGGTCAAAAGTATACATAAAAGATCAGATATATACACATGCCCCCACTAATATTTCACTAAGCGTCCTTTAGGAAGTTCCACCTCGATCAGATGCTTGTGATAACCATCAGGAAACCTCTGGCAAACCACTTAAAAAACAAAGCAAATATCACTTCAGTTTATTGGGCTTTGCAGGTATTCATTTATGTACATTTATGATTTTGACTCTTTTTCAGCCATTCTGTTGTAGATTTGATGCTGTGTTTGTGATCATTATCCTGTGTTATGACTCAGTTTTAGCAAATTTTAAGCTGTTGGAAAGATGGTTTTACATTTAAATAAACTGCTTCACATTTAAACATGTCAGATACATTTTCAGTGGCAGTGGTGATGAAGGCAAGTCCAAAGCACTGCACCACAGTAATTCAAGATGCTTTCAAGATGTCATGTGCTCCTGTTTTTTATCGAGACTTTGTATTAAAAAGGATATAGATTCACACTAGTCTTGTTGTAAAATCTTAACATCTTTATACTCTGTCTTGGTGTTTTGAATAAGAATAAGCTTAGCAAGGGGCAGGTGCGACTAAGAATGACTTGTTAATCACACAATGAAGCATACCCACATTTAGTCTCCTTGTTGACTCTAATGAATATGTTTATAACATAAAGATATGTGTGCCGAGAGATGAGTAGAGTGCTTGACAACCAAGTCTTTTTGATCCCTGCTGGCTATTAGAAAAAAACATGCTGATTTAAGGCACTTTAACACTGGCTTTACTTTTCAGCCCCAGCATACAGAATTAATTGGTCTCAATTCTACATAAACTCAGTGCTTTAAAAGTGTTTTTCCTTTAACAGTTGGGTGTTTCCCACAGGCTGCTGAAACATGGAGATGAGTGCTTTGAGCCCGCTGCATGCCCCTGTCTGTGGAAAGGAAAAGAGTATTACCCTGGCGACAGAGTCTCTTCGCCCTGCTACCAGTGGTATGTTTCCACAGATTCAGTGTTTTTAGAAAATTTTGTTCATTAAAATTGAAAATCTTCCTTTCATGTTACATATCTTCACATATCATATTTCCCTTCTCTCTATAGGCAATAATTCATTTTGTCACGCTTTACAAATTTGGTCTTGGCCTCGCCAACAAAAGCTGTCAAATTAATATGATCATCAAGCGTTTGCTTAAATTTCTAGTACCATCGCCAATTTTTCAAAGTCAGATTTAGCCTGAAAGCTCAGAATCCCGAGGTTGTCAGAGCATCGAAAGTGGCCACCTGATATCTATAATTCTCTGCTATCACAGCACAGAAAAAGGCCTTGAAAACAGAGCGGGCCCTTGTATGACTCTTTGATTCTCTGCTTCAGACTGTTCATCGCTAGTGAAAGGAAACACTCTCCCAGTGATCTCAGTCATTCTCCCATCCTTCCATTTCTTCTTCAAGCCTCAGCCAGGGAAGAAGATGTAGATGACAGCCTAATAGTGCAATGAGCTGCAGTTCAGCCTTTGACAATTCACCGGTCACTTTTCTGCCTTCTGTAAACCTGAGGCTCTCAACAAAAGGAGGCCATTAGATGTGAAAAAAATGTCCTCTAACTAAGTGGGAACAAGTTGATGCCGAATCACTGAGGCATTGCTGTCTTTGTAGTGTTTGCCAGCATGGGACGTTCCAGTGTGTATTTCAGCCGTGTCCATCGTTGTGCACGGCTTACGGTGATCGCCACTACAGGACGTTTGATGGGCTGTTATTCGACTACGTTGGAGCATGTAAAGTTTATCTTGTAAAGGTATGTGAGAAAAAGATTATTATAGCCATTACATGAGCATGTGATATATTTTTTGGTCCATAACAGTGGACCCCCCCCCCCCCCCCCCCCCACACACACACACACACACACACACACACATGCACACACACACAAACCTGCTTTACTCTGTAATAATAAACACTAAGCCTATTGTTACACTGAGATTTCTAAGCTATAAAGACATTTACTGTTACAGCAGCTGTGTTTTCTCACCTCCACAGACCAGTGCTGATATAATGCTCAGTGTCACAGCTGAGAACATCGACTGTTTTGACAGTGGAATCATCTGCAGGAAGTCCCTGCTGATCAATGTTGGAAGATCCTTTGTTGCTTTTGATGATGACACTGGGAAGCCAGTAAGAGTCACTTTTAAAGCAATTTCTACTGCTAGTGCAGAGTGATGTGCTGCACAGTGTCTTTGTGTGTCATCTTTGTTTCTTCTGAATAAGATTTAAGGATTTTTCAGTGGATAGCTGCCATCTAACTACAGTCACTCGTTTATGCAGAATCCATCCAGTGTGATTGACAGGAAGCAGAATATGTTCATCTGGCCAGCTGGGTACTTCACAGCGATTAATTTCCCAGAGGAAGACGTCACAGTCCTCTGGGACCGAAAGACTACAGTGCATGTCCAGGTTGGACCTCGCTGGCAGGTAAGATGCTGGTTCAGTGTTTTGTTTTGTTTTTTGCAGATCTTCAGCTGATCTTCAATATAAGGTGACTCCACAAATGATACCTAATAAACTGATGTTATACCAGTTTGATATTTTAGGATTTTTCTGGTTCCTAATTGAGCTGAGTGACCTCTGAGTTATCTGCAGCCATGATGGGAATCACTTGTAGTTTAGCTGATTATTTTTGTGAAAGGTCGGATGGTATGTTGCTATGAATCGTGGCACGTCCTTTCCTTTCACAAAGGAACATACAGCGAATCATCTCAGAAGCACTGAAGAACTTAACAGATTTTTTTTCATTCAGACTGTTGAACACACCACTCTCAGAGCAGCATCCAACAGGCAGTTTTGTGTTACTGTCAGTCACAAATTTTAAGAGGCTATGATATAAAGTAAAATGTAATACCATGACGGTATTAACAACATATGAGCTAATAGGCTAAAAAGAGGCGATGTGATGTGTTCAGGGGAAGCTGAGCGGACTGTGTGGGAACTTTGACTTGAAGACAGTGAATGAGATGCGAACGCCTGACAACATCGACTCCCCAACACCACAGGAGTTTGGAAACAGCTGGACTGCAACAGAGGTGAGCAAAACATCACCTGTATGTTCATCATGCTCTGGTGATCTAATGAAGGCAATTAACTGTGAAATTAACATTTCACTTGGACAATAACTTGCAAGCCTATTCATCACAACTTCAGTTTATTTGAAAACTGAAATAGTGATTCATTTATAGTGAAATTGAGCTTTCTCATTTGACATAAATGTTTTTTTTTATCTCCCTGTGTATGTGTGCGTCTTTAGTGTGTAAACAGTCCAGATATCAGACATCAGACATCCCTGCACTTTCAGTCCACTCAGAGAACCTTTTGCAAAACGACAATGTGCTGTTCTGCTCAGTGAGATCTTCCAAGCCTGCCACCCAGTGGTGAGTAACAAAACGTCTCTACCCTGGGCTTTTTACAAGTACTACAGACTTTTTATTTTTTAATTAAGGGGTAAAATTCTACTTGCTATTAATTAATCTATTTGTAATAAATTTGTAAAAAAAATATTTCTTATATTTGCCCTTAGGTGGATGTCACCTGGTTTTACATGAACTGTCTAGCAGACACATGTGCCTGCAGCCGAGGAGGCGACTGCGAGTGTTTCTGCACCAGTGTGGCGGCGTACGCCCAGCGTTGCTGCCACCAGGGTGTACCTGTGGACTGGCGTTCTCCTTCTCTATGCCGTGAGTCAGTCAGACCACAGGAAGTAAAATTCCCATCTAGTGTTTCTTGCTAACGTTTGCAGATTTTATTGTTAAAGCATTCCTTTTTGAACATTTTAATGTAGACATTGTATGTTTAATTAATTACAGAGGAATAACTGAGCTTCAATAGCTTATCTGGAAAAAAAACATAAAAACTAAAATAAATGATGTTCTAATTGTAGTTACATCGTTATCAGTTAAACTGCTATTGGTTGAAAAGCGGTTGTTGAAAAGCAAATTATTATTAATAGTTGTCATAATTAATTATATATAAATTCTTCTCAACAGTAAAATTAGATAATTTATGTAAATGTCAAGATGGAAACTATAAAAGGGAAGAACTTGATGCAAGTTTAAACTATGTTGTGGGGCATTTTAAATGACCATATATTGATATTGATCTTAAAATCCTGTACTGGTTAGGCTCTAATAAAAATTAATATCTACTTTTCGTGCTTATAAAGTACCTTTCAGTACTACTTTCATAGTATTTATATCATTATTGATAGTAGTAGTACTCATCCTGTTATTAATAAGAGTCTCTTTGTTTCCGTGCAGCGTACGATTGTGAATTCTACAACAAAGGTATAACAATTTCTCCACACACGCGCACACACACACACACACACACACACACCTACACACACACACACACACACACAGACACACGCACACCTCACACACACTAATTTATATATATATATATATATATATATATATATATAGTTTAGTATTTTGTTATTTGTTTTGTGTGTGTGTTGTGTGTGTGTCTGTGTGTGTGTGTGTGTGTGCTGTGTGTGTGTGTAGTATAGAGAGAGAGAGAGAGAGAGAAATTTCTATATATAAATGATATGCCCTGCACTTTATATAAAGAAGTATAAATGTATTATTAAAATGCAATAATATGCAATGCAACATTGATTATTTTAATGAAATGACCACTCACAGTCAAGTATTATGCAGTGATAGAACAGCAGTTTTTAGGCTGTTGGAGAAATTATGAGTTCAAAGAGGTAAAATCCTACAATAAAGTGTGGATGCCTGTCTGCAGTTCTGGGTAAAGGTCCCTTCAGGCTCTTTACCTTCAGGGATCGGACGACACTGTTGGCAGCCAGCAAATCCAGCGGCTTTGTGTTCCTGCAGCGTGGCAACATCAGCGACACCCCTGACATCATCTCGCTGTTCATGATGACACCTGGCCTCAGCAGAGCGCGACCACATGGTGAATGAATTTGTTTAAAATGAAAAGGTTTACTTTGTATACAGAGAGAGATTCATTTCATTGCAGGCAAAATAATAACTGCTCAAAAAACTGATTTAGTTTTTTTTCTTCTATTTCAAATGATGATGTCAGCATTTTAATTACAACTGTTGACAATAATTATGACTTCCAAGAGGAAGGAAGTTTCTTGTGTTTTTATATTTAGTGAGTGTGGGAAACTGGTTAGTTCAGAAGCTTTATAGTTTTATTTTACACTTATTTCTTTTCAATGTAGAAAACAGTCTGTGTCTGCTTGACTAGTGTAGGGTTTGGTGGTATCAGTGCATGAAAGAGATCTTCTGTAGTGGGTTTGGGAAAGTTTGATCGTTGTGTAGATACCACAGTGGTATATTTTCCTGTCAGCAGAATACAGCAGGCTCCTGAATGAAAGAGACGCAGGTATGCTGGTTGAAAGCCAGTAGGAAGCTGTTTAAACAGGGGAGCTCTGATGTTAAATTCACAGCTAAAAAAAAAATTTGTTTCTTTGGCCAAATCTGTAATGTCTGGTTTCTCAACTCTGACTCTTTACCTTCTGGTGACTGGACAAGGAGTCCAGTTCTTTTTTCTTGGAAGAAAAAAAACAAAACGAAGGAAAAGGGCGTAAGAATGCAAACTTTAATATCTATTCTGTAAGTGTTGTAGACTCTATTTATATATATTCAGCTATCAATTTCAAAACACAAAGCTTAGCAATCAAGCTGAAAATACAGCAGCGATATATTATCATTGTAAAGTTTTAGCAAATAATTGTTAACCCAATGTTTTCTCTTCTTTTAGCTGTTGCTTGCTGTTGCTATTGCACTCATTGTTTGGTTGGCCTTTGCTGAGCAGATGCTATCTGCCTCACACCTTTTAAATTTATTATTAATAATAGTGAACATAAAAGTTCCAAAAACCAAAACATGTGTTAAAAAACTCCACTAGACTGAGAGCAGCTGTTTAAAGTTTGTTTAGAGCAGTGGTCCCCACGGGCCACGGACCATTAGTTGTTTGGTACCGGCCCACGAGAGTTGAGGCTCGGGTGTGAGATTTATGGTTTCCAGGGCTTTTTATTGGTTTTTATCATTTTTTTTTATCGTTTTTATTGTTAACTCTGTTTCCCTGGACCTTTTCATGTGTGTTATGAATAAATCTTTTTTTTTTTTTTGTACCGGTACTGGTTTTATTTAGTTGTATCTGTGACCCCTTAAAGGCTGGTCCATGAAAATATTGTTGGACATAAACCAGTCCATAGCGCAAAAAAGGGTGGGGACTGCTGGTATTTACGTCATAATTAATGTTAGCTTATTAGCGCTTTAAAAACTGCCTTGTGGTGCCTTCTAGTGTTTGAATTTAAAGTTTGAGCTTGAACTTCTTTTCCTGATGAAAGCACGATTCCTACATAACAGACATGTGTTTGACATTTTATTTTCTGGATGATCTTTCTCCATCCTGTCACCTTACATTAATGAGAAAATCAGAGTTTCACTAAGAATCTCTCTCTGCAGCGACTGAAAACAGGCTAGCTGGCTTTCTCATCTTTCACTGTTTCCTTTGTGTTTGGCAGTGTTTGGAATGATTTGAGTGCGACCTGTGAAAACACTGATGGAGGAGATGGACTCTCATTGACTTACATTGGTAGCATGGCCCAGAGATCAGATTGCTAAATGCTAATATAGCAACCTGAGCTGCAGGCTGGTGAGCAAGCCAAGACACTAGCTTGTTCCAAAGCTAGTCTCACTTTTTATCACATGTGAGCTGAGATGCTGCTGCACTTTCGATTATTTTCAAGCAATATACAAACGCATTTTCTTCCACTTAATAAACTTTAAAAATTATTTTACACTTGAAAAGAGGACCGAGGAATGTAATCAAGTGATAAGCATAAGAACATGTAATATGGATTCAAAACTTCTATTGTATTTTGGCGTTCAGTTTTGGTGAAAAAGTGAAAATAAAGCTGCACCACTAAATAATTTCTATTGTGAGTACCAGTAGGTTTTCTTTGTGTAAAGGCTATGTTCAGCTGCCATGTTAAATGTGCTGCTATGAGGATCTTTCTTTCTTTCAATTTTATTTATACAACTCCAAACCACAACAACAGTCACCTCAAGGCACTTTATATTGTAAGGTAGACCCTACAATAATACATACAGAGAAAAACTTAGAAATCATATGACCCCCTATGAGCAAGCACTTCAGCTGGCAACAGTGGGAAGGAAAAACTCCCTTTTAACAAGAAGAAACCTCTGGCAGAACCAGGCTCAGGGAGGGGCAGTCATCTGCCATGATTGGCTGGGGAGAGAGAAGGAAGACAGGATAAAAGACATGTTGTGGAAGAGAGCCAGAGATTAATAACAAGCATGATTCAATGCAGAGAGGTCTATTAACACATAGTGAGTGCGAAACGTGACTGAAGAAGAAATACTCAGTGCATCACGGGAATCCCCCAGCAGCCTGCACTTACTGCAACGTAACTAAGGGAGTATTCAAGGTCACCTGGTCCAGCCCTAACTATATGCTTTAGCAAAGAGGAAAGTTTTAAGCCTAATCTTAAAAGTAGAGATAGTGTCTGTCTCCTGAATCCAAACTGGAAGCTGGTTCCATAGACAAGGGGCTTGAAAATTGAAGGCTCTGCTTCCCATTCTACTTTTAAATACTCTAGGAACAACAAGTAAACCTGCAGTGCAAGGGTGATAGGGTACTATAAGGTCATTAAAATAAAATGGGGACTGATTATTCAAGACCTTGTATGTGAGGAGCAGGAATTTGATCTTTGTTGGTTTACACAACTGAGTTAAACAGTATGTAACTCAGTGTTAATAATAATATATAAAAGCTGTTCCTTACAGTGGCAGTATGCTGTTTATACTAGAGAGCAAACAGTTGAAATAAAGGTTGAATTCAGTGAATGAATCTAAGCATCATCAGCTTAAGTTTAATTTGATCTCTTGATGTAACCTAACACTGACTGAGAACACCGCAGCTACTGTGCACTAGTCCAACTTAGTGCAACAGAGTACTTTCATGAAACCTTTCAATACCACAAAGTTAGTGTACTATTGTTTGGCAAGATGTTTCCCAGTATGAAAAAACACACCTTCATATCATATACAGGTCCAATATCTGATTTTAAAAAAAGCCATTCTTCCTGTCCAGTCCTGCGTTTCTTTTCAGGAATACAATACCTTTAGCTAGCAGCCATTTTTTGTGTTTGCTGATATTTGCTGAGCTGATAGAAATGTTACACTTGAAATAACCTGCCGCTGAAAAAACATGACAATATCAATGCTCACGTTTCTGCTTCGGCCTTGAAGTCACACTGATGTACCTTGTTTCACTTTTCACTTTTCATCCGTTTTAAGCCTCAAACACTTTAATTAATTCTTCAGTTTTTTTAAGAATACTCCACCCCAACTTATTCAGATTTTTTAACACCAGAATGTGACTGTGCATAAGTAGAACTGGTAAATTCAAGCAACTTGTCTTATTTGTCTTTTAAAAAACGTAGTCACAGTAGCTCTTCTGCTTTGCGAGCTTTTCTTTATACTTATGAATTTTTTTCTTTTTTCGTTTTTACTCAGACACGTCACGAGTTTCCTTTGAAGCAGCTGAAAGGCCAAACTACTTCCTGTCTGCAAGCCCCAATGGCCAGTTGACGTTGGCCAAGTGGCAGGAGAGCGAGGCATTCTGGGAAAGAGCCACCTTCATCCTCCGCAGGAACACCTGGATCCCAGGCTATGACTCACTCGAGTCCCATGCAAAACCCGGCTTCTTCTTATATGCTGCTGTACCTCGCCTCTACCTAATCAAATACAGACACTTGGACAGCTTCCGCAAGGCCACGCTGTTCAAACTGTCAGGTCAGCAGCACATCACATAACACTCAGTAATCATCAGTGTTGCTGATTTTTTTTATTTATGATCATAACAAAAAAATTAATGCGGTCATGATGACAGGGCTGGAACTGGAAACTGGCTGCTTAAGACCTCACAAGCACAACTTTTTCTAACCTAACTTTTTTGACGTGAAAGACTTACTTGAACCATGACTTGCATATAAACAGACTTCCAGCATATTCTAGAGTTAAATCACAGTAGAGATGTTAGTTACCTCGACTGTTTTGGCAGCGTTTGCAAGCGTGACATTCTTTCTGTCTGTTAACACGAAAGCTCAAAAAGTTTTAAATGAATTCTGGTAAATCTTTGTAGGAGTGTAGAGGGAGTCGTGTTAATATCCATCCATTCGCTACCGCTTATCCTTTTCAGGGTCGCGGGGGGTGCTGGAGCCAATCCCAGCTGTCATAGGGCGAGAGGCGGGGTACACCCTGGACAGGTCGCCAGTCTGTCGCAGGGCTAACACACAAGGACAGACAACCATTCATACTCACATTCACACCTAGTGGCAATTTGGATTATCCAATTAACCTATCCCCACTAAGTGCATGTTAATAATCCATTAAAATTTGCCTTACAACCACGAAGGTCTTCAAGGTCGACTTCATGTTTTACTTGTTGATAATTGACAAAAAGCATTATAAATTAAGAATTAGGAATTAGAAATCTGACCTCTGCCTTTCTTTCAAGGTTAACAGATTGATCTGAAGGTCAAAATAATAATGATGCTATATAGAGCTATTTTGTTTATTTTGTCTTGTTTCATAATGTTTCTTACTGCCATTATTTGTATTGAAAACACATTGGCATATAAAGAATGATTGTTCACGTTGCTCTTCTTCTACATGGTTTGTATTTGCAACATTTAGGAAATGATACTGTTATGTAAGGATTCTAAATATCACATTATAGTTTGCATTCAAATATCATGCGACATTTGACCTCTGACCTCACTTTTACATCTTACATCTGCTCTTGTTTTCTTTGCTCAGTTCAGTTTGCTTCTATATCAACATCCTGTTTATTTAGATGTTTACCTTAGGGACCTTGGGTTAATTTACTGCTTTATATTTTTGACTCAGGTATCGGCAAGGATTCAGTGGGTCGTTATTGCTTCTCTGTGGTGCCAAGGGTCAAGACTACTGGCTCCTCTGCTCATATTTTCTGTTAACAGGGCAGTGAGGCTAATAACTGATGCTAAAAATATATCAGCAACATTTGCTGATGGCAGTAAATGCCAGTCCAGATATAGACATGCTAATGGTGTTGATTTTTTTTTAGTCAGTCCAGATAGAAAATGTGATGTTTAATATACAGAAACATGCTGTACATGTTTCTGTATATTTAAAATGAGCATTATTTTTGTTTCATAATGTAAATTTACAGAATGAATGATATTTGCATGAATGAATGATACTAAAGCCTTGTTTTGATTGTTTCTCAGCCATGTGTACATTGTAACTTTAGGGGTGATTAAACTGTCACATATTACCATAATGCTTACTAAGCTTACTAAGCATTTAATAAGTATTGTGTGTTTTTGATCAGGCCCAAACCCAGACGCCCCACCAGCTCCTCGCTGTCAGTGGAGGTACGACGCCTGCGTCAGCCCCTGTTTCAAGACATGCAGCGACCCGTTCGCTGAAGCCTGCATCACCATCCCACAGTAAGATCTTCCCCTTTACTCTGAACATTACAGCCAGAATTATCAGCTTGAACAGTCAGTTCTACGCATACATTAAAGACTTCAAAGACTGGGACCAGGTCTTCAAGCATGTGCATCCACAAAGTGACTCTGCTGCATCAAATCAGCAATAAGATAGAATCATTTTAGTATCAGTTTGTGATTAAATGAGATCAATCTGTTTGTGATAATATGCTGATTAGCTGTGATAAATTTGCAAAAATTGCAAATCTGTTTTCATTCAGAGCCCAACCAAACCTCATAGATTTGAAACAGAAATCCAAAAACACTTTCACGAATGGTAATGTAGTTCCTGCAACACAGCAATTTAACCTCAAAATGACATAGGCGCTTGGGATCCTTGCTTTTACTTAGGAATATAACAAGAGGACAATCAGTTGGCTACCAATTGAATCAAGTTCCCTACTGCAAAGAGACACACTGGAAACGAGATGTGCTCATCAGTGGAGACTGATTCAGATTGATTGCAGTGTAATGGCAATCTATTTGTTTACCTGCAAACTTTCTCCAACCCATCCAGCAGTGACTGCAGTCAGTCTGAGTTGGGCCTCACTTGTTTCGATGCAGCTTGTCTTTCTCTGGGTTAACTGTGAAGTTTCTTCTGTGTAATCTCTTTCCAACCAAAAATGGTTGGCCAGAGAGTTGCACAGTCAACCACTGGGTGAACGCTTGGTCGCCACAACTACTTGTAATTGCATTGATTTTCCAGACTGCCATCCTATTTTTACTCTAGTATGACATTAATCAACCTGACTACTTGCAAATACATGTTTAGTGAAAATGCTGAGCTGATGTTTGAACTGACAGAAACTTTACAAATTTCATTTTTCAATTCAGACTTAATGAGAACTTGGGGGGAATCACATAATTATGAAACTGGGATCTTATAATCACAATAAAAGATCTTGTAATGACGACAACAACAACAACAACAAAAATACGCTTATGGGAGCTATCCATCATTACTATACTTGAGAGAAATGTGGGATTATTGCTCCGTCATACAATTTATGATCTTAAATATTAATGAAAATATTTTGAAGTATTTTTTAAAGTTTATTTCAGAGATGTTGCTGAAACTTTCCTGATGCTGGTCATGATATTGTTTTAAAAAAGAATTATGACAGTGTTGCTCTTTTAGAAATAAAATCCTTGATTAGTTTTCCTTCTATTTATTTTGTATGCGCAGTCCTTTGTTAACAGCTCTTAATGCTTTGGCCTCTGAGTACCGATGCACAGTTTATAGTTTCAGCTGTCAATTGTTTTCTGTTCAGAGTGGAGGGTTGCCTTCCTGTGTGTCCCCCACTCATGGTCCTGGATGAGGTCACTCATCGGTGTGTGTACATTGAAGACTGTGAGTATCTGTGTAACACTTTATGATGAACAGTATTTATAAAGGCTAAACATACTAGTTAGTTGGTAGTTTTTTAAAATATTAGTAAGCACTGATACTGATACTTGATAATTTTTGCTAATAAAGCTAATAACAGGTTTTTAAGGTATATATGTATATTGTTCGGATGTCATTGAAAGGTTTCAACTGTTAGTCATAAAATTTTGTTCTGTCATTTTTAAATCTTACCTTAGTGTCTGTATTATAAAAATTAATATACTTTTCTGCAATTTGTTAATAGGTGTTGTTTAATAGGCAACCTATAGAAAAGCTATAGGTAAAATCAACACAATAATATAGTAATATAACAAAAATGAAAAATGCGAATTACATTGATATTTGCGTTAGGTAATATAGCTTATTAAATTCTCTGTGTTAATCAAGTTAATAGTTAATATTGCTATGGTTTTAGTAATACACCAAGATGCACAATTTTGCACATTTAGGAAAACGAATTTACAGTTGTTTCAAATTTAACCTAATCATTGATATCCCTGCTAAAACGCTAAAAGTGTGAACAAACTCATCTGCACTGTTTCAGTCCACTTAATGACCTGTATCTCTTTTCTGAGCTCGTTATTTCTCTAACAAACCTTTTATTGGCTGAACAGGTATCAAGGTTCCAGTCGCTGTGCAGCCCGTTACACCGTCTGCTGCACAGCCAGCTGCCACTTCTACAACCACTGCAAGTACTACTGCCTCCACCAGTACCTTTAATACCACCACCTCCACTACTGCTGCCTCTGCTGCTCCTCCACACACTGCTCCCACAACCAAAATCACCTCCACTGTTCCAGAGGCGAGTCTGCACACCAGCTCCTCAGAAACACCACCTGCCATTATCTCTCCTTCTGCAAGTCCTGAACCTTCCAGTACAATAGAACCCCGGCCTCCGGCAGTGCCCACTCCTGTGAGACCAGAGGTGGTGGAACCATTGTCAACTGTCAAAGTGACAGTGGCTCCCCCCACTACTATTATGGGTACAACAAAATGGTTGAGTGGACTGTTGAGCTCTGCTGTCAGTCCCTTTGGTCCCAGCACCTCTAGGACAAGTAGCACCTCTTTCACCACAACACCCCTGTTCTGGCTCACTTCTACCACCAAGTCCACCGATTCCCTGCAGCCACTATTCACCATCACTCCTGTGACTACTGAGTCAGCAACCACCACTGCAGCTCCGACCACAACCTCTCTAGAGGGGACAACCACAAGTAGCACTCCTATAGTTGTGCAGACCACAGAGGCCACAACACATTCCACAGGGATCGCTCCGATCATCACAGCTTCCAGCCCCAGTCCTGCTCTGGTCCCGGAAACTTCTGTAATTACAGAAAAAACTATAGTTCCCAGTACAACTATCTCTGCACACACTGACACCAGAACAAAATCTTCAACAGTGGAAGGAACTACAGTTACAACATCCATCACATCTGGCTCACCAAGCACAGCCTTCACAACAGCTGTAGCTCTTCCAGCTTCTCCTTCTGTGGAAACAGTAACTACAGCTTTGCCAGAAATCATTTCAACGAAGATGACGGAATTAGTCACACCAGCTGCACCTTTTACTACTACTAGAACAACACCACACATCATAACACCATCTGTAACCACAGAGAGGATGTTGCACACCACATCTACATACCTGACAACGCCCACAACAACGGCTCCCAAATTAACGACAACAACCCTCACTCATTTTGCACCAAGCACACACATACCATCTCCCTCTACCTCAGCTACTACAGACTGGAGAACAATCACAAAGAAAGTGTCTATAACAGACTCCCCTGCATCTGGCACAGCACAGGCTGAAACCAAAACTGCTCCCTTGTCCAAATCTACAGTCTATACTGAGAAAACTTCCTGGTCTGCAGCTGTCCCGGTTACAGAGAGAACGACCATCACAAGTGCCACTGCAACCTCAAGACCTCCAGAAATACCAAAAATATCCACTGTGTCCACAGTTCCTATAATCACGACAAACCTGATAGAAACTACTCCTGTGTCAAAATCCCCCATAACTGATAGCTCCACCGGTCCACCTACTACTATTAGTACTTCAGAACCTTGGCGCCCCTCTCATTGGCAGAGCTCCCCCACCCCAGTCTACAGAGCCACAGTGGAGACGACACCAGAGGTCAAATCTGAAACTGTTGTCCATGTGGTCGCGTCCACTGCAACTACCACAATTCCTCACGTTCCACTAACAACTGAGCCAACTGTAACATCTGCAACATCAGCATTGATACCTACCACTGCCCAAACCAGGACACCTCCTGAAATATCAACTGCACAATTCATAGCCACCACAACCAAAAAACTGGCTACACCCCTGCCTATGCATTCTTCCCCTGAGACAAAGCTTATCACAGCAACTGCAAGTGCACCACCTACTGTTGCTACCACAACACAAAGACCTGTCATTGTTCAACTGATTACAGAGACAATGCATCCACTAACAGACAGAGTCCAGGTGTCAACAACATCTGCAACCACATCCCATCCATCTTCATCACCACTTGGCACTACTACTTCCACAGCACCTCCTAGGACAACAACTATCCTGGACAAAGTCACCACCCGGCTGGTGTCCACTTCAAGGGTTACATCCGCTCTGACAACTACCATTATCACACAGACAACCACCCTCAGGACAACACCCAGACTTCCTGTGACAACAAGAATTACTCCCAGAACCACGTCGACTGAGCGTGCAACCATCAGGCCATTCACCGCTAGGGTAACAGTAGCAACAAGGCCAGCAGCAGTAACCACCAGATCAACCACTGTCAGCCCACCAACTGTCACACCAAGCTCTGACACAACAACCACATCAGAAGTGACAACTACAACCATCACAACAACAGCAGAGCCAGTTACCACAGCAAAAACAACCAAACCTCCTGACACAACCACAGCAGAACCTCACTCGACCACCATAACTACTCCACTGCCTCTTCCTACTTTAACTACACTCACAACATCTACAGCTATACCAACTACAGTCCACAGAGAGCCAACCACATCTGAGGAAACTTCAACAACTACAGAGACTGATGTGTCACCATCTGCATCCCAACCGGTGACACCAGTGCCTGATGTGGTGAGCTCCACCCAAAAACTCAGTATTCCCACATCTGCTACAACCTCCCGTCCATCAGCCATTAAAGTCCAAACAACTGTGCTGGATAAAGTTGATCGGACGAGTCCAAGTGAAGCAACATCTCCAGCACTGGCTTTTCCTCACACACCAGCGGAAACAACCAGTCACACAACAGAGGGAGCAACATCTATGACTTTATTACCTACAAGGATGTGCACGGTGGGCTCACTTATTATTCAGCTTCATTTCAGTTTATTATTGGATTACTTCAGGCAGGCTACAAAGTCAAACTCAGGCAGTAATAGCACATCAGCTGATCTCAGTGCTTGCATCTGCTTCTTCTTTTACACAGATGGCATGCTTTAAGTTTCTTTTGCCCACCTGTAGTTGCTGCACATCTGCAAGCCACTTTGCAACTAAATATATTTTTAAATAATAGAACGTGAATCTTGAGTGTTGCTCACTGGTTACTGCAATGCCAAAAAACATGGTTTTACTTTCCTAATTACAAACAACAAATAACCTTCATTTTGATTTTTATTGTTTTTTTTGTTTGTTTGTTTTTTTGCACCAGCCTCCATATGCAGAGATCGTTGATGATTGTACCAAGTACATCTGTGTCAACAACCAGCTCGTCCTGTTCAACAAATCCCAGAGCTGCCCTTACACTGCCGACCCTCCAAACTGTGGCCTGCTTGGCTTTGCTATCCTCGTAAATGGAGACAAGTGCTGCCCTAAGTGGGACTGTCCATGTGAGGAAAACACATAAATGAAGGAAACACATTAATTTTTTTTTTTTTTACAAGAAAATCTGCTCCACACTTTTAAAATTTGCTCTGACTGAATGATGATAATTCTTAAATGTCTCCCATAAATATCTGGCTTTGGCAGATTTTTATCTTTAACTGTGCTCTTTGGTATCCCTACTGTGCCAGGTCGATGCACAATGTTCCCTGATCTGAACGTGATCACATTTGATGGGAACAGCGTTGCCATCTACAAGGCTGCCTCTTTTATAGTGACCCAGCTGCCCAATGAAACTGTCAGTGTTCTGGTTCAGGAGTGTCCCGCTGACTCACAGTCACCAGTGAGTAAATGTCACACATGCCAGTTGCTCTGACAGTGATCTGGACAAAAGTTTCTGTTCTGTCATCTGAGTTTCTTTTGCTTTTTAAAGCTCTTCTGGAATTTTACCAACTTGTGTCTGGTGGCACTCAACATCACCCATAAATCCAACCACATCATTATCAACAGGCTGCAGAGGAGGGTAGGAGATACTCTGCTTCTGATTAAAGCTAAAACACTGATAAAAATCTACGTGATGACATTTAGTTCTTGATGCTTTCTTTCAGCTGTATGTCAATTCACGGTATGCTAAACCTCGATTCAAAAAGTACGGCTTTGAGATTTACGACACAGGCAACATGTACCTGATCCACAGCCCGGCCGGTCTTAAGTTACAGTGGTATCACAGTACAGGGATGATGGTCATCGACACTGACAGCTCCAGCAACAAGCTGCCCACCATGGGCCTCTGTGGTAAAAAAAAACATGTGCATTTTTCTTTCTTTTTAACATTACACAGTAAAGATATCATTCTGGTAGGTTTAAAACCTGTGGCATAGTGACCCTGTTTTTTTGGGCACACCATCAAAACATTATTTCACTTTTGTGGACACAAATGTCATGATATGTCACGACTGAGGTGATGTTCATGATGCAAATGCATGTCTTAGGCTTCTGTGATGGAGATCCATCAAACGACCTGATTTTGGCAAATGGGACCACAGTGGGTGAAAGTGAGGATCCAGCTGTGTTCATCGACAGCTGGCAGATTCCTAATACCACAAGTTACATCAGCCACAGCCGCCGCCGTGAGCTCAACTGCTCTACCAGTGACTGCTCCAGCTGCTTCTTCATGCTGCAGAACCAGGCCTTTACCCCCTGCCATGCCTTTGTATGTAAATCCATACATTCATTCATTTCCAGATGTGTTTAGTTACAGGGAAGCTTTCTGTTATTTCTGAGTAGAAGATGTCAAAAGAGCAAAAAGATCATTTTAAATGACTGCAGATTGTTGCAAATATAATTACAAAATAGGGGTATTCAAATATACTTATGTAACAATATTACTAGTTTCAAGTAATTGCTCTTTCTTTGTTTTTAGGTCCCACCCACCACGTTTTGTGAGGTTTGGGTGCGAGACTCGGAGTATGTGAACAACCAGTGTGTGGCTCTGGCTGCTTATGTGGCTTCCTGTCACAAATTCAATATCTGCATTGAGTGGAGGAGTCCAAATTACTGCCGTAAGATTGTTGTCAGATTAAATCTTGTTGTGTAGCAAGCAAACACTGTAGTTTAATGTCCAGCTGTCACAACTTCTGTTATATTCGCTTCCATCTGAGCAACTCTGCTTTGATTTTGGTCTCCAGTTAATCCCATTGATCTGTTTTTAGAGAAAGTGCTAAATAATGGATTGATGGCACTGACATGTCTGCGTCTCCTCCTGCAGCCTTTGTGTGTCCCAATACTCTGAGGTATCAGGCCTGTCTACCAGCCTGCACGTCTCAGTCCTGCCCCAACCACGACTTTGATTCTGATCCAGATCAGTGTTCTGGCCTGACTGAGGGCTGCGTGTGCCCTGAGGGAACACTCCTTCACCGGCCATACTCTGCACTCTGCATCCCACCTGACAAATGCGGTAAGAGCCCAGTTTACCAACAGAGCACAAAGCAAGAAGGGAAGGTCTGTGCATTGGATTATTGTGATGGGACCAGAAGAAAATGCTGAGAACTATGCAACTGTTTAGTCTAAGGAAACTTGTTTTTGCCTATGAAAAAGGAGAAAAGATTTCAAGTTATTTTCTCAAAATTTTGAGTTAGTAAGCTGAAATTGTGGGTTAGCTCTGCTAATCAAGTGTGTGAATAGCATCATTACCTTTTTACCTGGTAGCAGATTCCACAGTGAGCTACCAATGTATAGTAAACATGAATAAATTGCCATTGTTCTGAAAGTTTGCTCATTTCTGACCTGCCTGTTTAGCATTGGGAGCTGACAAGGAAATGAACCTTCATGGAGCATCCTGATTGGCAGAGCTAACTTTAAATTTTGAGTTATTTTCTCAAAATTTCAGCTCATTAACTCTATGCACTTTGAAATGCATAACTTGAAATTTTGTCTTCTGTCTTGTCGTCTATTCTCAGACCCATTTCATTATCTTTAGAAACTAATGCACATCCAACTTATAACAAAAGCACAACTCTATAAATACTCTATGAATATAGCCCTACATTGAAATCTGTGTGAAAGGTCATTCGTATACAATTATTTCTTAGTTTGGGAAAGTTTCCCATATGAATCAGCATCAGTCAGCTGAACCACATTCTGTTTGAGCTTTAAAAGATTCATTGTAGTCATGTGTATCTAAAATAGAGTGTATGTTTGTCTGCAGCCTGCACTGACAGCGGTGGTGTTCCTCGTGCACATGGTGAGGTTTGGAAAGCCTCGAAGGATGCCTGCTGCATGTACCGCTGCGACAATGACACCATCGTTCCCGTGGAATACAACTGCTCCAGCATGGTGGCGCCTGCGTGCCGTCGAGCAGGGGAGGTGATCATCAGTCTGGCTGATGACACCAGCTGTTGCCCACAAAAAGTCTGTGGTGAGTTTAAGTGCTTTTGTCTGAAACATGCAAGATAGCCTCCAAATCAATAACTGTTACTCTTTAGACCTGAGACTGTTTTGATTTATGACATAATAAACAGAAAAAAGAATGAGCTATCTAATGAGACAATGGGATTTCTAACTTTGCAGTATGTAACCAGAGTCTGTGTGACCAGCTCCCTCCTGAGTGCAAATATGGGGAGAAGCTGGTGTCATACTACAGACAGGACTCCTGCTGTCCAGACTATGTTTGTGGTGAGTTTCCAGTTGACCACTTATTATGTACACTGTGATCACTGACAGATGATGACACATTTTTAAAACTATCACATTGTAGTTTAAGTGCTGTGTAAGTAATGCACACAAGGAATTATTTCATATAATATATTTACTGTAATGCCTTAAGAAATGTCATAGTTTACAGAGACAACATTGCACATTCAAAACTGCAGAGCAGTTTTCAAAGACGAATAAAAAAACCAAACAAAAACCCACTGCTTTCTTACAGAGCCTTAGATTAGACAATTTCATGCTTGTATCATACCTAGGTTAGGTTACCTCTTGTATAAAGCATATCTACATTGCTGAAGAAAATTAAAGGAGCACTTTAAAAACATGTCAGATCTCAATGGAAAAAAATATGTGGGATATCTATATGCATATGGACTGGGTAGTGTGATCAGCCTGCAGAGACCTGAATTCAAAAACACCTGAAAATTAAAATGATGATGTGATCTGTAGGGTCTAGGTATCACCCCATCTCATGCTACCTGCAGTGACACAGACCCAAGCCAAATGCAAAACTAGTGAAAAAACTATCAGAAAAGATGAGGAGGGAAAAAGGTCAGAGATGAGGAGGGAAAAAGGTCAGTGTCCTTCACCTGTAAAACCATTCCTGTTTCGGGGCTGTGTCATTGTTGCCCCTCTAGAGCACATGTTCTTAATTTTATTATCACCAATCTTGCAACCTGTAGGCACACAGAGGTGGACATTTGTCTTATTTCTTGTAATCTTGACAAGTTAAACTATCAAAAGTATAAAAAAAAGAGAAAGCAAATCCTCTTTGTTGTGTTGCAGAATGTGATCCAGTGCTCTGTGAGTCAGACATTCCCACCTGCAGAGACGACCAGATTCTGATTGCAACCAGAGCTGAAGGCAGCTGCTGTCTCGCCCACATCTGCAGTCAGTTCAAAAAAACTGATCACATTAACTTCTCTGTTCTGTGGCACAACATTTAGCTATTAGAGAATAATTTAAAGTTATCAGTGCGGTTACAAATGTATGTTTTCATACAGTGTGTGCTCCCTGTGTGGAGACGCCTCCCCTCTGCCAGGATGGTGAGATTCTGACTGTCGACAGCAACACCACAGATCGCTGCTGCCCCACCTACCAGTGTGGTCAGAGCACACGCGCTTTCACTCACACACTCACACACCTGTAGCTTTAGCTAATAGTTGGAGTAAAAAAGTGAAAAGGTCTAAGGTCGGCTGATTTAACGTGTCACTTGTGTTTTTTGTAAATATCTGTGACATATAACTGTGACAAAGATGTGGGTTCTCAGCTTTTATTCTTGGTTCTTAATCTTAAGCTTTTTGATAGTTGGATCATTTTAAAATTGTAACACGACTTCAATTCTTTGTTACTTAGAAGGGAATTATTATACTTTCCTCATTAGAAAATGAGGAAAGTATAATAATACGTCTACTGTTACAAAGGCGGTTACAAAGGCGGTTACAAAGGCGGCTGTACACATTAGACTTGCTTAGAGATTCAAATACTAAGGTCAGTGTGTGCATAAGTAATCCCTGAGAGCCAAAAGCTTAGGCTGCAGACTCTCGGTTTTGGACAGTTGTTTTTCTACCCTTGGTTCTGTATGATGTCAGTGAGAGTGAATATCTCTGTTTTGTAAGCCCATGTTCTGTTCAAACATTCTGTTTAGGAGGGGCCACTCAGAAAAAAACTAGTGTGTAGCGAGCAGTGTTGGTCAATTTACTTGAAAAAAGTAATTAGTTACTAATTACTCATTACTTCTCCAAGAAAGTAATCCCATTACTTTACAGATTACTTAGTTTCAAAAGCAATTAGTTACTTTTTAAAAACACAAATACGTAATAAAGCAATAGACCTTTCAGCCCAATTCTATTTTTTCAGCATATTCCATCGGTGGAGGTCTGCCCGGTGCCTCAACAGTCATGTCAGTGGGGGATCTGGGGGTTTCTCTGTAAATTTCACATTCCCGTGGCAGTGTGCTAGGTGCTTGCTTAGATTTAAAGTTTAATTTTTTGCCGTAGAAAGAAGTTTTCTCCAAACGCAGAGTGTAGAGCGGACGCTAATGTTTTTGTTACTTTTTACGGAATCAAATTCAAAGCAATGTCAGTGCTTCCAAGCTTTAATGGTCATACCCTCTCCTGCACTCCATATATTATCCATTGTTGATCTACACACGTCTGTTGCTGCCACAGGCATCGTACACTCGTACGAAATCACAGTGTAGTAACGCAGTAACACAGCGTGTTTACAGGAAAGTAACAGCAATCCAGCTACTTTTGTTTTTGCAATAGTAAACCGTTACTTTACTCGTTACTTGAAAAAAGTAATCGGATTACAGTAACACGTTGCTTTAACATGTTACTGCCCATCTCTGGTAGTGAGGCCATGTGTAGTAGACCCTTTGTTGTTCTGAACTATGACTCATGTAAAGTCACTGCAGTAGAGTCCAAGAATAAAAATGCGCTGATCCACTTCATGTTAAAATGATCCCACTATTGGACAGCTAGAACGCATAAATGACTTGCATGTTTTTCTTTGTGTGTGCACAGTGTGTGAACCCTACAGGTGTCCTCAGCTCACGTGTCCTGTTGGGATGTCAGTGGTTTCTGTGTCCAATCCTGGTCACTGCTGTCCCAACCAAACATGCGGTATGAGGGGAAAACCCTTCCATGATAGGAACAATAAAATTAGTCCAAAGCCTTTCTTTCAGATCAGTACTAGGCCTGTCATATCTTTTTAGAACCACAATTTAAAATGACATTACATTTGTTTTATGACAAAGCAGAGTATCTGGTGTTGTGTGGTGTCATCTCAGCTAAACAACTTAATAATGGTCGTTTTTTTATTTTCTGTCTTCAGAGTGTTCCTGTGAAAAGATTGCCTCCCCAAAATGTGGCCTGGTAAGTCCTGAACCTGTTGAATACACTGTATCTCCAGATTATTGCTCATAAAACCTGACTTTATGGGTCATATATCCAGGTGTCTGTCTGCTGGCTCTGTGTGTTTTAATATTTTTGGGTTCCTTGTGTAATGCATTTACATTAATGCAAATCTGTAACCCTGGTTCTCTGTCTGTGTTCTGCAGGGGGAGGCTGCCCAGCTGGACCGGGCCTTTCTAGCCGATCCACAGAACCAGTGTGCCTGCAAAAGATACAAGTGTGGTACGTTCTGACGAGGAATTCATTTTAAGTTTAATCTTACCAAACCTGCTCTGAACTGAGCCAGAGTGCACGTTAGGACATGTTGTTTTTTATTCTGTTTGTCTAATGTTTGGTTAGTGTTTAAAACAGATGTTTTTACCACTTGTAAGTGCAGCCTGCAACTTTGGACCCTCTGACCTCTGTGTGTTTAGTGCGTGAGGCTGTGTGTGTGTTTGGAGAGCGAGGAGTGTTGAGGCCCGGTCAGACTCTGGTTGAGCGTGGAGACGACGGTTTGTGTTACAGCCGGCAGTGCAGCCGCAGCCTTGACCCAGCAAGCGGCTTCCATGTGCTCCACACTTTCAGCGTCAACTGCTCTAACCAATGCCAACCAGTAAGACCGCGACACACCAGCACAGACCTTTTATTGAAGATCTTGATCTTACTGACTTTATGTTAAGGTTCCATCCTCATTGTTAGTCTTGTTTCTCTTTATTTTCTCATTAAAAATGTGTTAAATATGAGAAGAGCTACCAGAAAGTTTATTTTTTGTGATTAATATTTTATTGAATTTTTAGAACACTACAGTCCACTGTAGATACAAATCACATCACATAAAAATAGCATCAGCATAACAGCCGACCAGTAGAGAATACAAAACCAAAATGAGGGGGGACAAACAAAACAAGAGATAAACAAACAAACAAAAACCCCAAAACAAAACAAACCCCCCCCCAAAAAAAACAACAACAACACAACCAGCCTTTGACTACGTGGGTCTTGCTGCATGCCACACTCTGCCATCTCTGAGAGTGCTTCGTCAGAATCCCAATGTCTGTCCCACTCTAAGTTCTAGTCTGATCCTTTTATTCTGAACAGATATGGATCCCACTTCAGGTGGAAGCTCTCCAGTGTATTCAGATGCCTGTATGAGAGTTGTTCTAGTGCAGCGAGTCTCCCTAGTTGAATATGCCATACAGAGACAAGTGGGGTGGAAGGGGCCTTCCACTGGGAGATAATGAGTTTACACCCCAGCATCAATGCAGTCTGTACCCACTCAGCAGCCTTAGGCAGAGCGTGTTTAAGGAGTGATTGGTCCCCCAAAACTAATAGTCTTGGCGAAAAAGGAATATCCCATCATATAGTTGATTTGATAGGACAGCTCCAAATCATATGTGCCCACCCCAGTCTGACATCTCCAGCATTCAGGAGACTGTATAAGGTTCACCCTGTACAATCTGTGTAGTGACCAGTAAATTCGGTGTAATAATTTGAATTGGATTAGTCTAGTTCTAAGTTCCCTGGACATCTTTTTACTATTCTGCAAAATTACAGTCCATTCCTGGTCTGTAAAAACCACACCAAGGTCAGCTTCCCGAGCTAACCGTAGGGCGGTTAGCCCTTTACTCATGCCCTTAATTAGCACTGAGTAATATTTAGAGACTTCACGAAGATGTTTTTTTGATGTAGCTGAGATAGTCAATAGTTGGAGGTGGTGTGGAGACCAAAGGTTTTGAGCAATAAATGCCGGAGCTGCAAATACCTCCAAAACTGACTCTGTGGCAACTGAAACTGTGCTTTAAGGTCATTGAAGAACTTGAGAATTCTCCCCTGATTACAGGTCTCCAAGAACAAGTATCCTTCTCTTGACCCACAGAAATGGAGACTTATTAATGCAGAGTTTGGGATTGAGCCATATGGAGGCCTCAGTATAAAGGTGGGAGTTAAAATTTAACGGCAAGGCCACCTTATTCCAGACCGTCTGCAGGAACGAAAGAATGGGGTTGGTTTGTATATCTGATGAGAGCTTGGTGGTTAAAATGTGCATCAGAGGGAGTGGTGAGCACAGGGTACTCTCAAGACTAAACCATGGGGGGGCTTGTTCTGGAGAGATAGCCCAGTGAACCATGTGTCTCAGACTGAATGTATAATGGTAAAACAGTAAATTTGGGACCCCCAGGCCACCCGACTCCACTGGTTGCTGTAGCTTTTTAAGCTTTATTCTAGGGCTTCTGTTATTCCATATGAATTGGTTGCATAACTTGTCAAATTGATGAAAATATTTTGATGGGATTTTTAGCGGGAGTGTTCTCTACCAGAAAGTTTTAATTGAACATACAATTATTGCCGAACGGGTCTTCACCAAAATTCAGCTCAGAGTCAAGATCGCATTTGGATTTTAATTCTCATTAGTCTGTGTACTATAGCGAGCCTATGACAAGGAAACATATTACTTTCTTTCTGTACTTCACACATTAAAATAACCTGTGAATAGTGATGGACTGTGATCTGGATAAGTATTTGATGGCCCACTCTAAAGTTGTGATTTTTTGGCAGTTTGGTTAACACTGGTTAACACTGTTGCCCCCAGACAAGTAGGGGGAAGGTTCCTGCTTGGGTGGGGGTCTTCCTCTCTTGGTATCTTCACTCATAGGTATGTTTGGTTGTCTGCCTCACTGTATTAGCCCTATGTTGGACTGGCAACCTACACATTTCAGCTGTGTCATCTCACTTGACCAAAGTTTAACTAATAAACTGCTGCACACAAACAGAACTTGTTGCTGAAGCAGGAGAAAAAAATGATTTAAAGAAAAAACTGTTAGCTTCATTTATGTTATGTCTGCTTTCTTGCTGGTGTGTAACGTACTAAACACAGAGGAACATTAAACTCAGCAGACTCTGCGTTGTCACAGATACCACAGCATCCCTAGTTACAGCCCTGAACTTCTCCCCTGAGAGCGGAGCACGAATCTAGAAGCTTTTAATTTTGTTTGAACTGTCACAGTTAATCTTTGGATAAGTGGTTATGATCATTGACTCATTAAAGCTCACTGTCACAGTATTTTAAATGAAAAGGAAAGTAATCATGTTTGTTTTTCAGAATCAGATCTACGTGCCTCCCAAAGACCAGTCGACGTGCTGCGGAATCTGTAAGAATATTTCCTGCATCTATGAGCATGAGAATGGAACAACAGGTCTCTATAAGGTAGGAAAAGATGTTCAGCAACATTTTGCATCCAAATAAAAAACTATTTTAACATACACACTATATTGTGGCGAACTGAGGGATCTTAACAACAAAGGACCCACACAGAGATTGAGTCTGTTATTCCACCCCAAGCAGGAAGGGGGAGCTCTTTATTGAACAGTTCCCCGTGCTACACTGTGCTCGCACATGAACTCACTCATGGTGTAACATGTCTTTCTATCAAAACAACATCTATCAGTGAACAGGAACGGTCATATGAATTACTTAGCCATAACAAATGCAAATACACAGTTTAATCGTCTTGAATGGGAACACAACCCGAGGCATGATGGGAGATAACTAGCTGCTCCCAACATGCCACAATATTATATAAACAGTCTTTTACATTATTCTTCAGTCTTGATGTGTACTTGTGTAACACTTTGGTCTGCTGGTGGGAACTGAGTTGAAGTTAGCAAAGCTAGCTTATTAGCTAGCTAGCACATTATGCAGTTTTTTGTTTAACCTCAGCAACACAATCATGATAAAGTTTAACACAATATTTATTATTGTATATTTTTTCTTATCTTTGAAATTGATTACTGTTAGTTTAATTAGTCGATGGTGATTTGACAGTATAGTCAAGTTGGCCTTAGTCCTAACTTTGTCCAGCTTTGATTTAAAAATGATCTCAGGCGGACTCACACAAAGTAAGAAGGCTGATCATACGTCACCAATCTCTTTCCCATTTTGTTGTAAGTCAAATTAAGTTGCTCACTGTAGTTCAGTTGCTGATGTTGTCAATGCTTTTCAGCCGGGACGATCCTGGGTATCAAACTGCATGAAGTTTGACTGCACAGACACTGTGGCTGGGCCCACACTCGTCTCCTACTCCTTCAGCTGCCCTCCCTTCAATGAAACAGAGTGTGTAAAGGTCAGCATGCAGCGCACACCGACGCACGCACGCGCGCACACACACAACACACATTCAAAGAGACATCTCTTTCTTCAAATAGATAAAAGATACTGACTGATTATAATTTGTCAACGTATCCTTTAGAAGGGAAATCTTGCAGTTTTAAACTTTTTAATTTCTTTTTAATCTTTTTTTTTTTTTTTCATCAAAAACATTTTGCTGTGTGATAATGATGTAAAAAGGTGATTCTCAAACAGACAGCCAGGCTGATCCATATTAAATTTAAGTTTAAGCAGGCTCAAAGTAGTTATAACTACTGCAAGACTGCAAGATGACATATTTCTATAGAATAATGGTAGCTCACTTAAAAAGTTTGATTAACAAATCCACGGCATGTTCAGTAGTTACACAAAAGTTTAGCTGAAGAATAGGGCTGCCACAAACGATTATTTTGATAGTCGACTAGTCACCGATTATTTATGCGATTAGTCGACTAATCAGATCATCATCCACTGGACGTAAAACTACAGCTTATTGCACCAGCATGCATCTGCTCTTATATAACTATCATTAGCTTACAGCTT